TTTCGATTTTGTGTGAAATGAAAATGAAATGAATAATGGAAAAAACAGATAATGTCCCGTTCCCGTTTCTGTGACTTAAACTGTGATGCTGGTTTATGGACTGAACCAGGTCTAAACCAGGTCTAAACCAGGACTAAACCAGAACTAAACCAGAATTAACCAGGTCTAAACCAGGTCTAAACCAGGACTAAACCAGGACTGAACCAGGTCTAAACCGGGTCTAAACAAGGACTAAACCAGGTCTAAACCAGGTCTAAACCAGAACTGAGCCAGAATTAACCAGGTCTAAACCAGGTCTAAACCAGGACTAAACCAGGACTGAACCAGGTCTAAACCGGGTCTAAACAAGGACTAAACAAGGTCTAAACCAAGACTAAACCAGGACTAAACCAGGACTAAACTGGTCTCAGTCCTGGTCTCAGTTCCTGTCTCAGTCCTGGTCTGGTCCCGGTCTCAGTCCTGGTCTCAGTCCTGTTCTGGTCCCAGTTTCAGTTTAGGTCTGGTCTCTCCGTTTTTTCATTTTGGTTTTAGAGACACACAATGAAGAAAATAGTTTGTTTTGTTTTGTTTTGTTTTCTTAAATTTGGTTTTATTTAAAAAAAAAAAAAATGAACGAATGATACACAGATTCAGTAGTATTCTGTTTTCCAAAACCCCATATTGTGCTATTTTCTGAGCTGCTCTAATGTAGTTTCTGAAACAACACAACTCTAGGTTTGTTTTTTTGAGTAGGTAACAACATTCTAATTTGGATCAGTTCTCACAATAATCCATTCGGTGTAATATAGCACCTTTAATATCTTTTGGTCACTTGCAGATTATCCTCTTGATCCACTGACGCACTCAACTTTTTCATTTTTTTCCCACTAAACCAGGACTAGAACTGGAACCAAGCAGGACTAACACCAAATCTGATTGACTGAAAGTCATGTGTACTTTCAGTACATTATACAAAGGTATTATTGGGTTAGTAAAAATACAAATAATGCACCGTATTGTCTTTGAAATGATGCAGGAACCGAGCTACTGCGTGAGAGAGAGCACAGAGCCAAAAACCAGGTTATGTTTGGTTTTGTTTGCTGCTGGTTCATTCATAGTCATGATGCCCTCAGTGAAAATCTGTAATGCAAATAATGATGGAAGTGAAGGTGAGGAAAAAGTGTGTCCAAACTTTAGATTTTTGGTTCTGTATGTGTGAATGAGGCTGTACTCCATTGTATTCTTTGCACTGATTCTTCCTCGGAGTGGTGAGTTAGATCCACGTTCTCACACACACACACAGACACACCCACACACACACACACACACACAGATCCTGCTGAGATACTTCTGCTCGCTCCCACAGCAGCAGAAGAACATATACATCTCCTCACACATGTAATATAGATGAGTGCAGTCGGCGTAGTGCTGTATGGAATCATGTATTATTGATTTCATAAAGATGATTCTTCTCCCCACAAGAGCAGACAATACACTGAGCAGAGGGGCTTACTTTATCGCAATTTGTCGAAATAATGAAGTAGCCTGACAGTGTGGAGAGAGGCTGGACACTGGGAGGTAAACACAGGAGATATTCATTTACTAGTGGTTTAGTACAGATACACAAACCATCAACACACTGTGGTAGTTTTACTCTACCACAGTGGGTATGAGTAGGCTGTATTACTCACTGGTTTATGTGTCCTGTATTAAATCAAATGGATTATTGTGAGCCATATCAAAATGTTGTTACCTCCTCAAAAGCAAATCTGGAGTTGTGTTTTGTTTCATTCGCATATGTTTGAGAAACTCTTTGGCCCTGTCCACACAAGTATGTATTTGAGTTGTTTTCGATGTGAATGCAGTGGTTGTCAACACTAATCCGACTGAAAACAGCTCCAGAGACGGAACAGTCTGGTGTCTCCAGCTCCCACAAATTCATCTGAGTACAGATCTGATCCGGCACTGTGTGGACACCTGAAAACACTGATACTCTGATGTAGGTCTATGTGCTGCGAAGTAATTCACTGCCAAAACACTAAGAGGCTAGAATATATGTCCATTTATATATATGGTCTGTGTGTATGACCTGCAGATGTATAATCTCTGAAAAGTTTAACATGAACCATCTCCAACATGACAGAAACACAGAACAGACTCATCATCAGCAGAACACCCCTCTGTCACAGAAAGAACACTCATATTCCACTGAGTCGTCTCCTTTAGTCCGGCAGAAGCTGAACCGCATCAGTGCACAATAGTGAGATGTTTTTTTTGAGCACTCAGTTTATGCAAATGAGCCATGTGGTTTTAAGTTTTGTTTCTGTAAAACTTAAACAAATATGCTCAAAGCTGTGTGGACAGGGAAGGCTTGGGGACACAGAAACGACATGTCTGGACGCACATCGTTTCTGATACGGTGATATGGTGATGCGGTGATATGCGGATTTTCTTCTGTGTAAACGTAACCTTTATTATTAGTCTATCTACTCAAAAGCTCAAAGCTCAAAATTTTCTGTTCCACCTTGTGATGTCATGAAGTTCAATAGAGAGTGACAGTTCCAGGGTTCAAACTATCCATCTGATTCTATGGAACTATGTGTTTGTAATTGTATGTTGTATGTATGTATGGTCTTGGTCCTTCTTGAAAATGAGATGCTGCATCTCAAGGGGCTTTCCATGAATACATTCAAATCAATTCGAGTGAAGTAGGGCTGAATGATTTTAAGAAAAATCATTTAATTGTGATTTTTCTGGCAGATATTGAGATTTTAATTTCATCCATATTTTTTGTCCAATCAAGTTTCAGTGCACATGAACATTTGCAAATATCACAGAAACTTACATCATACCAGAGTCCTGCACCGACGATTTGACTTTGGACCGTAACTACACCAAAACGACACAGACAATAAGAGCTGCGATTGGTCCTCTCTACATCCGCTCTACATCTACAAACATTCTCTGTACTCAGCTTTCCTTTCTATCAGTATACATTGAGTAATAATGTGTTTAATTCAGCTTTGAGCACATTTGTTTATGTTTTACAGAAACAAAACTTAAAACCACATGACTCATTTGCATAAACTGTAATCCCTGATAGAAACAGCTCTTTACTTGTGCGCTGATGTGGTTCAGCTTCTGTCGGACTAAAGGACACGACTCAGTGGAATATGAGTGTTCTTTCTGTGACAGAGGATGTGCTGATGATGATGCTGAGTCTGTTTTGTGCTTCTGTCGCATTGGAAATGTTAAAGTCATGTTAAACTTTACAATAATGCCATCTTTATATCCTCGCCTCCTAGTGTTGTGGCGGTGAATTAAGATTATTGAAAAATGCAGCTTTGATGTTCCCAAATTTGTGTTGTCTGAAATCACGATTTTACAAATTGTTACAAATGAAATTGTATTTCAAGTTTTAAATATTTTAAAAAGTAAATATTAAAAGTAATAAATATATTAAACCCTTAAAATACAGCAAAAATGTTTGAGGAAATAATGATTTGGGTGGAAATGGCGTCTTAAGTGTAACAGGGTTAATAATTGTTAGATTTTCAGGCAACAACTTGCAAAATGTTCAGTAATTCGAGCTCTACAACCTTCATTTCAGTTCTATTTTAAATCTTTTTCTTTTAATATAGCATTGGTGGGTTTGTAAACCAACAAATGAAGTAATTCTGGCCTTAGCTAATGCTGTTATGCATGATTATGCGTTTTCCTGTCAATATCTCTAAAAATGTTGATGTTGCAGCCATTTTTAATTGGTATACATCCAAAAATTTACTAATTCTTCCCTGATATCCAGGGATTATTCCCTGTTGCTTTCATCAAATATACATTCAATTGTTCAAGAGATATGTTGCTGACAAACCAATAGAGGAGGTCATGATTTTCTGACTAGTGGGTCTTCTGACTAGTGGGCTTTCTGACTAGGGGGCCTTCTGATGATAAGGGTGTAACCATTAGAATGAGCCATCAGTGTTTATTCATGCTAAGATCCTTAAACCACACACAAAATATTCAATATTAGCTTTTTAGAGGATTTTCAAAAAACTTGCAGTAAAAAGTAAATTTTTGATTGATGTAAGGTAATTTGGGCCAAGTCACCTGGAAGCCTGAGGGCCAAGAAAAATTTGTCTGAGGGCCGCATTTGGTCCACGGGCCGTAGTTTGGACATGCCTGCAATAGATCGTTCAGTCCTATAGTGAAGGTGTATGGAGGTTAAAAACACAGTGGAGCACTTCACAAGGTTTTCTGTTTGAGAGGTTTGTGTGTGTGAATGTGTGTGTGAATGAAACAAAACACAACTCCAGGTCTGTTTGTGATGAGGAAACTACATTATAACATCAGAAAACAGTGTGATATGGCTATGCTTCTATTGTAGGGAGTATTATACCTCTAATGACCAAGCCCAGATAACAAACACTGAGCTGGAGGTGTTCTTATCAGTTGTTTTTTTGGAGCGTCCGTCTGTTTTTTTCACCATAAACGTAAAGGTTCTGATATTTCTTTTAAAAATGTTACAGACGTGTGTGGTGTTTGTGTCTCCCATGGGTGCTGTCCCTGGGTGCTGACATTTTCTCAAAGTAATGTGCGCAGACTTGACATGCCTTGTTGCGCCGTCCCTGGGTGCACACATGTCCCCACAGTTTGTCGTGTGTCTCCCATAGGTGCTTTCCCCGGGCGCATACATGTCCTCACAGTGCGGTTTGTGCGTCTATCTCATGGGTGCTATCCCTGGGTGCTGATATGTCCTCAAAATAATGTGTCTCCCTTGGGCGCTGTCCCTGTGTGCATACATGTCCTCACAGTTTGTCGCGTGTCTCCCATAGGTGCTGTCCCCGGGCGCATACATGTCGTAACAGTGCGGTGTGTACAGTGCTTTTCTCACGGGTGCTGATATGTCCTCAAAGTAAAGTGTGTTTCCCTCGGGTGCTGTCCCCGTGTCCTCACAGTTTGTCGTGTAAATCTCATAGGTGCTGACTTGACGTGCCTTGTGTGTGTGCGTGTGTCTCCCTTAGGTGCTGTCCCTGGGCGCAGACGTGTTGCCTGAGTACAAGCTGCAGGCCCCTCGGATCCACAAATGGACGGTGCTTCACTACAGTCCGTTCAAAGCCGTGTGGGACTGGCTCATCCTGCTGCTGGTCATCTACACGGCCATCCTCACGCCGTACTCCGCCGCTTTTCTACTCAACGATCAGGTACGGCCAATCTTCTACCAGTAAAAGTGATGTTTACATGCACCGAGAACTCAGAGTGCGCTCAAATGACAAACTCAAATCTCCTCAAAACCAGTCAGACCACTTTTTGCTGCTGCTATTTCGACATTGACGTCTAATTCTCAGAGCAGCTGCATAAACATTATTTTTCAAGCGTCCCACTACTTCAACTTTTTTTTTCATTGTAGAAGTAGCAGCTCTTTACTATTTTTCAAACATTTTGCTTTTCCGACATGAATAATATTAATGTCATAGCCAAAGTATTATTTTCATACTTTGCACTCGTAGCAAAGTATAATAGGCTATAGCTTAAAAGCGTAGATTTTCATTAGCTGCATTAGGCCTACAAAATGGCCTAACAGAACAGAAACAGAACTGATAATTCATAGAAAAATGATAATTAAATGAATAATAGCCTACATCAGACTGTTGTTCTGTCACTCAATCAGTTTCACCTCATCAGCCACGATCCTTGATGATTGTCGGGGGACGTGGTTTACTATCGTGGCCATGCCGGTCTGGTCAGGACTTGGATGGAGACCGCTGGGAAAATCAGGAGCCACAGGGGGGCGCCAGTCACAAAAACTATCATTGTGTCCTTAGGCAAGACACTTCACCCACATTGCCTAGTATGAAAGTGGTGTGTCTGTGTGTGAGTGACGGTGGTGGTCATAGGGATCGATGGCATCAATTGGGAGCCGTACTTCAGTCACTCTGCCTCATGACAGCTGTGGCTACTATAGTAGTTTACCACCACCGGGTCTGGAGTGAATGAATAATGATCTGTAAAGCGTCTTTGTGACAAATGTCTGTGAAAGGCGCTATGTAAATAAAAAAAAAAAAAAAACTTACTTACTATAGCAACTGTCACTGAGCTTTGTAGTCTACATGGAGTCAGTCCTATGTTCCCTTATTTCTAAGTTGTTGTTTTTTTTTTTATTTCTAAGATTTTTTATCAAACTTAAACTGTAAATCAAGTCATTTTTATTTTCATACCACATTTAAAGGGATGATTCGGAGTCATTTCAACCAAGGATCCTTTGCACCATGATCTCTACATCACATCTGTAATCAATAACAGGCCAACTGTAATTGATGACTAAACTGGAAGAAATAAAGAGCGAGAGAGATAAATTCTGATGCAAATTGATGATAAACGAAATGTGGGAATATAGGGCCTAATTCTGAAAAAAAAAAAAAAAACAACAACTTAGAAATGAGGGAAGATAAAGCTGAGGGAACATAGGCACACTCCCAACTACATAAGGGACTAATGTGACAAGTTTAGCGTATTATTCAAAAATGAAGGTTGTGGTTCCGTGACATTGGAAATACAGAGCTGTCACACGAGCGGCTCACCACAATACACAGAGTGCAACTAACCACAGGCCATGGCTCAGATACACTTCTCCATTTAAAAAAAAAAGACTTATATACTGAATTTTCCCTTGGGAATCCAGTAAAGCTGGTCAGTAAAGCTGATCTATCTACCTACCGACCGACCTATTGATCAATCTGCTGCATTCAGTGACAGCAGTCTGAATATCCACAGGTAGCAAGTTGGAACAGCGATACTAAAAGTGTCGGAAAACCATGACACCTAAATACAGACATGTTGTAATGATGAGATGTCAGAATAGGCAGCGGACCTGGTCACGGAGCTGATTTGTACTTTGCAGTGACGTCGTGCTGGGGTTGATCTCTGCGGTGGAAGGTTCTGAAAACTCAAGAAATATCACAAAATCGATTTAAACTTAGACTTAGACAAACTTCATTGATCCACAAGGGAAATTACACAACTCATTAAACCTCACATTTTCAGGAGCCTGTGATCAATACAAGTGTTCATGGTCCTGTTTAGAAGTTTGAATTTCAACAAAAAGTGAGAGTGACTAACTGAAAAACTTTTGAGTAATGCTAGATAGCTTGGGACTGTATTGTATATGAGTGAGAGATGTGTTTAACAGCACAAATAATCATCTCACCTGTTATAGTTCCAGCTAAGTCAGCTCTTTCTGGTCTGATTATGTTAAAATAAAGCTCAGATTAAAGTCTAACAAGTCTCAGACACAGCAATGCTTACAATTAGGATCACACCCACAGAGAATGTTGATGATGTCAGCTGCAAAGTATCAATAAATGTGAATGGGGCTACTATGACTGCTACTAAAAGAGCTACCACACATGTAACGTCACTGTTGTCAGACATAGAAAAGCAACATCTCACGTACGTTCAAACAGGCTTATTCTGCTAAATCAACTTTACAGAGATTTAAACCAAGTTACAGTTGTTTTCCATCATCATTTATTCACCTAAATTTGTATTTGGAGTGATGATGGAATGATTGATTTCATTTTCACCAGTATTGGTACATGCCCACTGCTCTGGACTTACTTTGTTCGCCAATTGTATCTGTGTAGGATGCAGCAGTGTTGCGTAGTCATTTTGGTGCAAATGAAAAATAAATCTGCTACTCACTAGGTGCCAACAGCTAAACGACTCTTTGTTGTGATGATGTTTACATCGGTTTCATGTTGCTATTCCAACATGTCGCTATTTAGACATTGATGTCTAATTGTCGGAGTAGCAGCATAAACATTATTTTTCAAGTGTCCCACTACTTCCACTTTTTTGTCAATGTTGGAGTAGCAGCACTTTACTATTTTTCAAACATTCCACTTCCCCAACATGAATAATATTAATGCAATAGCCTATTATACTCACTCATACCCAAAATTGCATGTTATCCACAATAAGGGTGATAGTCGAAGCACAACATTCACAGCAGCACGGACGGACTCAGGTGTAGAAATGCTGAGTGACAGACAGTGCCTTGTTGAACAGTGCATTTTTTTGTGTTTAAAAGCATGAAGAGCCAAACAAATGTTTTTCGGCAAAGTAATAATAATAATAGTATTTTTTGTTGTTATTTTCATTTCTATTATGATTTCACTTATATGTTCCATTGTATATGAATGTAAATCTTTATTTGCCCAAAATAAATGCATAAACAACAAAATTTCGCGTAGGTAGGCCTATTGCGCTGATGCGTGTTGGAATAGCGATACTAAAAAGTGTCAGAAAACCAGCACGTCTAGACATGACATAATGAAGGGATGTCAGAATAGGTGGTGGTAATTCATTTCACATTGTATCTTCTGCACATACACAAGCACAATTTGGGTTTTGGAACATCCATTACACAATAGTTATGAAATCTTACTGATTTCTTGGAGACAGTCACAGACCAGGAACTATGAAAACTGACTATTGCTCATCCCCCCGCCCGTCCTGAGAAAGCACAGGCTCTGCCCTCCAAACGTGACGTAGGCGACGAGTGAGCCGCTCTTCCTCCGCCCATCTCAGGGAGGGAGGGGGCGACAGACGTGCACCCGGATAGTGGTAGGAATAAACTTTTATTCATCATGGCGATACAGCACGTTCAGCCACATGTGTTGGACCCGGAATCGGACGAGGACTTTGAGGTGCACGAAGCACTTTCTGCTACGTCAAACGCATCATAGGTGTATCTGCCGCGTCATCGTTGTAGTAGCTTTAGTTCGTTGTCACATGGGAGGGTTGCAGAAATATGCTGTAATTTGTTTTAAAAAAAAACGCTGAATCTAAAAACCACTGGGGTGACATATACAAGGCCCACACATCACTCTTAGAAGGTAGAAAGCTCTGAAAAGTTGATTTTCCATGAGATGGCCCCTTTAAGTCATTTTAGATGAATATTAAACTATGCAAATTATAACACAATGATCCACGAGTGTTATAGATTATAAATATATAGCAGACACAATAGGTTTTCTTTAAACATTTGATTTTCAGACATGTTAGAGACTATGTTAAGTTCCTTGCTCTCTGCAGCACTGATAAACACTGAAGCTCTGGAGTCTGGAGATGGGTCCCCGGGCGCACTGGAGGCATTGAAGGATGGTACAATAAAGTGTACCTTAACCTTAACCTCCCAAAGCATGGAGAGTCTGACGGAGCTGACAGGACCACCTGACTAATCACCACGCTCCTCACCCTGGAGAGAGTCTGAGACCTGTGACACCTCTCAGACAGCCTGCCACTTTAGCCCTGACAGCATAAGTACAGAAATGTCTCTGTCTAGGCCTGACCAAAAAGAAATAATGTTATAGCTATTCAAAAAAGATGACAACATGAACATTATTGGATTTTTTTGACACTTCTTCATCCATAAAGCGACATACTCCCTGCCAGTGTGGATTTATATGAACATAATGGAGGTAGACGTACAGACTGTACATATAACAGTCTAGCTGTCCGTCGTGTTCCAGATGGAAAGTGAGCAGGGGCGCAAAGTGGTTTTTCGAGTTCTGGTTGCAATTCACTTTGTATTGAAAAAATGTCACACCATCTCATTAACTGCTGCTGTGAGCCTCATCCTGGTCTTAAAAGAACCTGCTCTACATGATCCTAGTGTTTTTTTTCTGATATTTAATTTGGAAATCAAGATATGAACATTAATAATAGACCAATTCGGTGTCTGCTTTCCTCAAGGTCTCTCCCTTTAGTGGCAGCGACTGGTTGATTGAAGACTTTGTTGCTAAGCGCCTGCCCCCTGCCAACCAGCAGTGCGAGCGGAAAGGGGGCTTGTACCTTCAACAGCCTCACTCATGACTGGCTTTTTGGTTCCTTGTTGTAGATTAGCTGCTATAACTGCTCGCCTTGATGAGCTTCATTTGACTGCAACCATAGAACTATAACAAAATCTGAAGATGAACCCAATATGGCGTTGAATTGTTTTCAGTGGCCTGTGCTCATTGGTAGCCTGATTCATCAGACGGTCACACTTCGTAGAAACTGTCTGACCTCGCAGTGTTAGAATTTGTTCGTTTGACAGTAGGCGGGTACTTTTTATCATTTAACCAATCGCTGCTGTTTGGTCGTGACGTACGTAATGCACCACTAACGGGGCTAACTGGTATATTAAGCTTTTCCCAAATCCTGTAGGAAGAAGGACAATAACGTCTTTCGCCTTGATGAAATTCACCAAACATTCTCTTTGTTTTGACTTTAAATCCTCGATCTTGGGAATCGTTGACAACACAGATTATATCACTCTTCACTGATTGGCTGGTGCCCGAACTCGCACTTCCGGGGTTTTTGCGAACCGTGTATTCTGATTCCTGACCTAGTCGCTGGAGAGAAATGAAATTGAGCGAAGGCACTAAGTCGCGCCAGTCTGACTAGCTCATTGGCACATGGACCCAAAAATAATTTTCTTTTCCGCATTTACTTCCTCAATCCAGGTGAGCTCCTCCCACCCACGTGACATCTGTGACGTGCATGGCGTGGAGCATTTGGACCAATCAGAGCTAGAACTGCTAGAGAGGAGTGGGCACAGGCTCAGAGCAGGGCCTGACTAACTCTGACAAAGATCACTTTTAGGAGCTTTGACGATTAAAGTTTATGATAAATGGTCAAATTTTTATACAGCACTTTTCCACCTTTAAGTCACTCAAAGCGCTTTATAACAACGAACTATTCACCCATTCATACACATTCATACACTAGTGTACACAGACACTAGGGGTCAGGTGGGTTAAGTGTTTTGCCCAAGGACACAATGACAGACTGTGGGTCAGTGGATCTGGCTGCTCAACCCATGATGTTTATGTTGAGAGCAAGATTCGAACCACCAACCTTGGGATAAGTGGATAAACACCTGAGCTACTGTCGCCCTTATGTTGTAAAAATAGAAAAGAATCCTACAAAATTCAACCTTTGTGAAAACTGGATACTCTGTCAGAACACGGCAGTTTGAAATCCCAAAATGCATTGTGCCCTATGGGAGAATTCCACTCCAAGCTGCAGTACCTCGAGGTACCACTAGTCTGTCTCAAGCCAGGACAGAGTGGAAGGGGCTTATCCAGTTTTTATTATAGATCCATGAGTTGAAGCCCGGTGCTACGGGTGACATCACACTCCCTTAGTCCTCTTCTGTATACAGTTATGAGTAGGCTGTATTACTCACTACTCTGCGTCATGGTGACTCAGCAATTGTTTAGTAAAAATGTTTAAAAAGCAAAATGAAAACTAACTGTAAATGTGCGTTGTCTTGCATTGCAAATGGCCAGCGGGTCCTGACTTTCAGATGACTTTATCTGCAGTTCAGCAAGTCCCAATATAGGCCAGAGCACTCAGAGCACGACTATCTATAAACTACAAACAACATTTATAGAACATCACATAACACAAACTGTGAAGGGACTGTCCCATTTGTACACCACAAACCTTTTGCACACATCATGGATTCCAATAAGTACAGAAGTTGTAGTATTATTGATAGTAGTAGCAGCAGTAATAGTGTAGCAGTAGTAGTAATTATAATTCTGGTAGTTGTAGCAGTTTTAGTAGTTCTTCTAGTTTTGGTTGTTAATAGTAGTTGTAGAAGTAGAACCTGTAGTTCTACTTTGTTGTTACAAGGGTTGTAGTAGAAGTAGTTGTTGTAGTAGAAGTTTTTGTAATTGTAGTAGTAGTAGTAGTAGTAGTAGTAGTAGTAGTAGTAGTAGTAGTAGTAGTAGTAGTAGTAGTAGTAGGTGTTGTAGTAGAAGTTTTTGTAATTGTAGTAGTTGTAGTAGTAGAAGTAGGTGTTGTAGTAGAAGCTTTTGAAATAGTAGTAGTAGTAGTAGTAGTAGTAGTAGTATGATAGCAGCAGTAGTCGTGCAGTTGTAGTATTAGTAGCATTAGTAGTACAGTAGTAGTAGTAGTAGTAGTAGCAGTAGTAGTAATAGTAGTAGTAATAGTAGAAGTAGGTGTTGTAGTAGAAATTTTTGTAATTGTAGTAGTAGTAGTAGTTGTTGTAGCAGTTGTAGTAATAGTAGTAGTAATAATAGTAGAAGTAGTTGTTGCAGTAGACGTTTTTATAATTGTAGTAGTAGTAGTAGTAGTAGTAGTTCTACTAATTCTAGTTCTAGTAGTTGTTCTAGTTTTATCTATAGTAGAAGTAGTAGAACTTGTATTAGTTGTTATTCTAGTAGGATAGTAGTTGTAATTGTAGTAGTTGCTAAAGTTGTACAGTAGTTGTAGCAGTTGTTCTAGTTTAGTAGTCATAGTAGTAGTAGTAGAAGAAGTAGTAGAAGTAGTAGTAGTAGTACGATAGTAGCAGTAGTAGTGCAGCTGTAGTAGTAGTAGTAGCATTAGTAGTACAATAGTAGTAGTAGTAGTAGTAGCAGTAGTAGTAATAGTGGTAGTAATAGTAGAAGTAGGTGTTGTAGTAGAAGTTTTTGTAATTGTAGTAGTAATAGTAGTTGTTGTTGTAGCAGTTGTAGTAATAGTAGTAGTAATAATAGTAGAAGTAGTTTTTGTAGTAGAAGTTTTGTAATTGTTGTGGTATTAGTAGAGTAGTTCTAGTAATTCTACTTCTAGTAGTTGTTCTAGTTTTAGTTGTAGAAGTAGTAGTTGTTATTCTAGTAGGATAGTAGTTGTAATTGTAGTAGTTGCTGAAGTTGTACAGTAGTTGTAGCAGTTGTTCTAGTTTAGTAGTGTAGTAGTAGTAGTAGTAGTAGTAGTAGTAGTAGTAGTTGCAGTAGTTGTAGTTGTGGTAGGCTAACAGTTTTAGGAGTTATTGAAGTACTTGTAGTTAGAACTGATAGTATTCACTGACATTAAAGTTGAGTGCAGTTTATTTCTAGTACATTCTACATACATCGTACACACACAGTAGGATCTTTTTATAGATTATACATTTTATCTTCCTATTTCCACTTTGAGCGCATCTCTAAATCCTGCACTGAAGATGTTTCTTCGCTCGGAGCTCTTCTGAAGTTCCTCTGAGTGTATGCTAATCAAGTTTAAAAAGCGCTCTGGCTAATCCCTCTGCCACACTATTTTTAGCCTGATGCTAAAGAGCGTAGCTAACCCCCGTGCTGGGTGCTCCCCGTGTTCTCTGTGTTTGTGCAGGAGGAGCAGATCATGCAGAGCTGTGGCTACTCCTGCTCCCCTCTCAACGTGGTGGACCTCATCGTGGACATCATGTTCATCATCGACATCCTCATCAACTTCAGGTGGGTCCTCACGGGCGAGGCACAAGGACAGATCTGTGCTGTTGGTTTCACAGGAACAAAACATCTCACAGTTTTGCAGTAATTTGTAAACAAGTTAAACAGGGTATTATGCAAATGCAACTTTTTGAAACTTTCTACCATGTTGTGACTTTTGTCCCTCATCAAAAACACACCTGAAGAGGTTTTATATGTCATCTGTGCTTGTTTTTGTAATCTAGAGATCTTTCTTGGGCCCTATTCAATCCCTTCGTGTAGTTAGCAGTGTGAGCCCATGCCTCTTGTACAGTGTTGGGGAGTAACAGATTACATGTAGGCCTACCGGAGTTACGTAATCAGAGTACAAATTATGAGTAACTGTATTCAGTTACAGTTACTGTTTCAGTGAGTGGTAATTGAATTACAGTTACTTTGTTGAAATAATTGGATTACACAGTGGTATTTTCCTGTTTTCATATTTTGGGCTATTCCCCTTTTCTTTTTTTTTTTCTCGGTAATTCCACTCATTGCCGGACACTAAACCAGGTCTAAACCAGGTCTAAACTCAGGTCCAAACCAATTCTAAACCTGGTCTAAAACCAAGTCTAAACTAGGTCTAAACCAGGACTAAACCAGGACTAAACCAGGACTAAAACCAGGTCTAAACTAGGTCTAAACGAGGACAAAACCAGGATTAAACCAGGTCTAAACCAGAACTAAACCAAGACTAAACCAAGACTAAACCAGGTCTAAACCAGGTCTAAACAGGATTTAACAAGACTAAATCATGCTGTGTGGACGTGTCTCCTCATCTTCTATCAATAATATTTTTAATTTGGTTAAGTAAAGTCTGGGCTTTTCATTTTATTTTAGCAAACAAAAAAATGTGAAGATTTCCTTGTCTTTGCTTCTCTACAGCAAATCAAGTAATCTAAAGTATTCAGATTACATTACTCACTTTAAGTAATTTAATGGATTACGTTACAAACTACATTTTGGGGTATGTAATCTGTAATCTGTAAAATAATACATTTTAAAAGTCACCTTCCCAACACTGCTCTTGTACAAGGCTGCGCCCACAAACCAACATCACCCATGCTCCCACACAACAATTCTGCATAAATATACAAATGTGTGATACAAAACAATACACTACAACTTCACAAACCTGATGCAATCTGTAATAGATTCATTAGCGGGATGCATGCTGATTATGTTGTGATAGAGCTCAGAAGAGAGAGTGATTTAGCACAGAGAAGAAAGAGGGGGAACTCAGTGTGTCAAAATCAAAAGTGAAAACTGATTAACCATCTTAATACTTTCTCTTCTGGATTAAATATACAATATTTAAAACATTTAAAGTAACTTGGAGATCTAAATATATACCCCATAGTAATACCACCTTTAAACACAAGTATGCAGAAACACCACAGATTACAGACAATACAAGATGCAGTTTTTTGCAGTTTTTGAAAATAAAATTTCATAGCTTTCAAATGACTATTTCAGTACTAGCATTCTATACAGTATATTCTATATACATATATTGTGTTGTGCCCTCAGGACCACGTATGTGAACTCCAATGACGAGGTAGTGAGCCATCCCATAAAGATCGCAGTGCACTACTTCAAAGGCTGGTTCCTCATAGACATGGTGGCTGCCATCCCCTTCGACCTGCTCATCTACCGCAACGGAGAGGAGGTACTGCTATGAGTACTACTATAAGTACTGTGTAAATACTGTAACAGGGAGGAGGTACTGCTATGAGTACTATCAAATACTGTTCAAATACTGCAACGGAGAGGAGGTACTGCTGTTAGTACTACTTTAAGTACTGTGTAAATACTGTAACAGAAAGGAGGTACTGCTGTTAGTACTAGGGGTGGGCGATATATCTATATTTTAAATATATCGAGATAGTTTTCAAACTCGATATGAATTCTGACATATCGTATATATGGATATAATGCTTATATTCAATTCTGATTTCGCCGCTTCGCTTGTTTACTCTCTCGTCGCCTCCGCGCGCCGCCGCCTCACTGATTTTGTTCGCTCGTGTCTCCTTCACTCCTCACTACTGCCGTGAACGCCGAAAGTTGGTGCTTCAAGCACAAGCTTCAAGCACCACAAACCTTTTCCACCATTTACAGACAAAACCATCAGCAGCACATCCTCATATTCCACCGAGTCGCGTCCTTTAGTCCAAAAGAAGCTGAACGAGCTGAGCTGCATGAGAAGTGCTGTTTATGCAAATGAGCCATGCGCTTAAGTTTCGTTTCTGTAAAATGTAAACACACGTGCGCAAAACTGCATTAAACACATTATTATCGCAAACAGGCTGATGTGGCTCTAGAGTCGTTATACTTTATATATTGTAAAGTTTAGCAATGTAAAGTTTATTTATGCAGAATATTTTAATTAATAATCTGCTGCAGTGTCACTTGTACAATAGTGTTTGGAAACGTTGGGTTTGATCTGCAGTGGATTGTGGGATTAAACCTCAGAGCTCCTTACTGCTGGATAATAACATGGATCTATTGAAATAAGGAACATCCTGAGCTTCTTCTGCTAAATGAGCTCATGGTTCTGGTTATGGTTTGGATAACAGAGTTAATGCAAAGATGAACTTGTGTTGAGTTGTTTTATTTATGAATGAAAAGAAGGAAATATGTATTATTTCTTTTATTTTACAGTTAAATTATTATTTATGTAATTAGGGTTTTTTGTAATCTTAAATGTTCCTATATGAACTGTCGACCTCTTACACTTCAATTAAAAAAAAGACCTTGTGGAATTTGGCAGATTTGTTTTTGCAGTTTTCAGTTTTAGGGGGTTATTTTTTCTTGAACATATATCGAGATATATATCGTATATCGAGATATAGCAAAATATATCGAGATATATTTTTTGATCCATATACTATAAGTACCCAGCCCTAATTAAGTACTTCTACTACTATAATACTGTGTACTGTGTCAAATACTGCAACGGAGAGGCGGTACTGCTGTTAGTACTACTTTAAGTTCTGTGTAAATACTGTAACACAAAGGAGGTACTGCTATTAGTACTATCAAATACTGTTTAAATACTGCAACGGAGCGGAGGTACTGCTCTAGAAATACTATCAGTACCGTGTGAATACTGTAACAGAGAGGACGTACTGCTATGAGTATTATCAAATACTGTTCAAATACCGCAACGGAGAGGAGGTACTTCTATTAGTACTACTATAAGTACTGTGTAGATACTGTAACAGAGAGGAGGTACTGCTATTAGTACTATCAAATACTGTTTAAATGCTGTAACAGAGAGGAGGTATTGATATTAATACTACTATAAGTACTGTGCAAATACTATAATAGAGAGGAGGTAGTGCTATGAGTTCTACTACAAGTAGACTACTTGTAGTAGAACTACTACTACTTACTACTATCAAGTAGTGAGTATATAATGCAAAGGAGGTACTACCACAGATGAACTGTATAAATACAGAGACAGGCTATACAACTACACACTCATGTACACTGCAGAGGAGAAGACACACTACTTTACTACTACTTTACTATACTATATGCACTGTGGAAATACTGCAAACAGGTACTACCACAGGTACTGCTACATTCTGTGATTAAACACTGCAGCCACACATATTACTAGCACACGTGCTCTGTATATAAATACTGCAAGCTGCTACCATACTTTACTTCCACAGTTATGTAAATACTGTAACAGAGAGAATGTACACATATGTAAATACTGCAATGGAGAAGAAGTACTGCTATGTGTATCATAGTCATGCACACAGCCTAGTCTGTGTATACTACAATACTCTTGTGTACACAACCTAACATGTCCCACTTGTGTAGAGCTGTAGTCTCTGAGAGTGATTTAGTCTGAGGGCAGCAGTCTGGTTTTACTGTTGGTCTTAAGTTCTTCATTTGGAATCATTTGAGTCATTTTGAGTTTGACTTAATGTAAGTTATTGGAGAGTTTATTATCATTAAAATGGAAATTTCCAATGATTTAGATGAAACCAAAAACACAGAGGACACTTGGAAGGTTGGAATATGTGGCCAAAACTGCACAGACACTCCTCCCCATATAAAGTAGTGTGACTGTTGTATCTGCCAGTCTCACTTCTGCACCTCACTGACACTGTGCACCTTTTAAAAACACATTATACTCTGTGAATAATTCATCATGATCAGTGGTGATGAGAATATCAAAAATTAAAACTATAATAGGAGTATAGTTATTCTACTCAGTGCCACTTAAGTAAAAATAGTAATATGAAATGTAATGGATCTCTCTTGGGGTTAGAATTAATTATATATTTTTATATTATCATATATATAGATATTGTATTTTTCGGTCTATAAGTTGCTCCGGAGTATAAGTCGCACCAGCCAAAAAATGTGTAATAAAGAACAACAGACTGTTAACGTCACATATGAACAGTTCTTCAGATAAACTATAAGCATAAACAACAGAACAGAACAAGTTTACCAAACTCTCCATCTCACTCCAAATCACTAAATCCATTCAATTCTTCATCCTCGGTGTCACTTCTGAGCAGCTCGGTGATCTCTGGAGGTAAACAGAGCGCCGCTTCCTCTTCTGTGTAGCTGTCATCAGACTCAGCATTAGTTCCAGTTAAAATTATTCCAGCCTTTCTGAATCCCGACAGGATGGTTTCTGTTCTTACTGAAGTCCAGGCTTTGTTACATGGTGCACCCTGCTGTGTTCTCCATCCTCGCTTTCCGTCAGTCCCTCACAAGGTTCTCGTTCACTCCAAACTTTCTTTCTGCTGGCCCAATGAGATTCATTTGGTCTTCCGATATTTTATGTTATTAGGTTCTTTTTTCAGACCAAGAGTTTGTTTTCATACCTGACACCTGTTTCACGTGACCACTCTGAGGAAGAGCGCTAGTGAGCAGTCGAAACTGTCAGGTATGAAAATAAACTCTTGGTCTGAAAAAAGAACCTAGTAACATTTGTTTCTGCTGCTCGATTACCGTTTTCGGCTGTATGTTTCACTACTTGCAGCAGGACAGAGACCCTTTCTGCAGACATGTGCAGTAGGTGACAGTGGTACAGGAGTAATAAGAGCAGCAGATACTGACACACAAGGCTAGAGCCTCTCGCGACTGACACTGTGAAAATTTTAATATATAAATATATAAGTCATAGGAAACACCCAAACCATGAAAAATGTGCGACTTATAGTTCGTACATTTAATGCAACTTACTTCAAGATACTTTGCAGCTGATGTTATCAACATTCCCTGGGAGCAATGTTAACTAAAGACGCTAGTCTATAGACTTAAATCTGTTTTATATTAATAAAATCTGACCAGAAAGAGCTGACTTAGCTGGAATTACAACAGATTAACTGATTTGTGTTGTCTCCAACAAGTCTTTCAGTTATACACTTTTACTTTTTTGTTGTCTCATAAACAGAACCATGAACACTCGTACTGGTCACTGGCTCCTGAAAATATTTCGTAAATCCATTTTGTGTTATTTTCTTGACTTTTCAGAAGATCTGTCTTTTTTGACAGCATTTGCTAATAAGTGCATTGTTTCACCATGATAACTGCAGAACCTTCCGCCGTAGAGATACACGTAGAACACCCCCAGCATGATATCACTGCAAAGAATCAATACTGTAGAACTTTATGTTTCCCCATGCCAATTACAGCCACTGAAAATTGTGGAGACAGGATACAATTCCAGGCACTCACTCTCTGTAAAGTAGTGTGGAAGTTTGTGGTTTTGGCCAGCCAGGTGTTACTGTAAGAAACCAGTCTGGCAGCCTCAAAGATCCATACTTCTCCTCCTGCCAAGGCTGATTTGGTCGACTCTGTCCCCAAATGTCCACAGAGCAGAGAGAGGACATTTTCACAGCACAAAACAGTATTACTTACAGTGTGGATGGGCCTGGGTTCAGAGCCAGTTCAGTGATCCAACAATACAACAGAACAGTGTGTAATGAGTGAGAATGAGTGTTTCTGGAACAATGCAAGTCTACTATTTGAGATATGGGACTAACTTTGGGATCATTTTTAACACTGAGAACAACTAAACATGCACATTCTAAACTGTAATGCATGTGTGCTGAAAGCGGAACTATATCTAAATTTGTAATAGTATCAAAAACTGCAAATACTACTGTAAGTTTGAGGTGTTGCATTGTCAGGAATGCGAAATACACACTTCTTTAGTGCTTTACAAATCTGTGAGCCTGTGTTCAGATGGGTTTGATTGACAGGTGAATTATCAGAGACAAGCTTGGTCCATCTGTATCAAAACAAATATGGCTGTTTATGATTTTTTTTAAAAAGAAGAAGAATCATTTGGTGAAGTAAACTCCCAATCTTAATCTAAGGTGAGAGAAATGTGACGTTCAAAATGAAGTGTGACCAATGAGCTCCTGTTTCACTTGCGTCACTGAATTAAACATATCTGATTGGATGATTTGTTTCTGGATTGAGACGCGATGGAGGGAGTGAGGACCAGACTGATATTTTTCTTAGTAGTTAGTTAGTAAAAGGAACAGTCTGATTGATGATTTTAACTTCTAACACTGTAGAAGCTTTTAAAAAAGAGTAATAAGCGATGACATGTATTTGACAAAAATTGTTTTAGCTGCATCTAAAAAGGGAATTACAAAGAGTTGGTTGCAACCAGATCAACCCGCACAACAAGACTGTACCAGGATTGTGGAGAATATTTCATTGATGAAAGAATAACATATAATCTTAAAGTAAAAGGGTATAAATACGATTAGCAATGGGAAAAGTGGAATACATTCATAAATGACACCAGCAAAACAACATAGTACATTAAAATGTTATTAGTAAATGCATGTTTAAATAAGAACCTCTAACTCCAGACTGTTGTTACATTGTTTTTGATTTATATTATTTTTTGTATGTTTTGAAATGTTACTTAAAACTAAATGTAAATGTTACTTAAAAAAAATAATAATAATAAGTTAGAAGAAAAACAAACAAACAAAAAAAGAAATATATAGAGCTTTGGAATGAATAAATTATGTATTAAATTTAGTTTGCTTGGATTTCTATTTTGCCTTTTATATGTACATTAAATTCAAAAGTGAAATTGTAAATGTGAACTTGCTGTCCATATGCTGCTTCTCTTTGTTGAAATTCTGTCACTGTTTAAAAGGGTTTGGCAATAGAAGTAGCTACTTTTTACTTCAGCCTAAACCCTTTTGGTCATGATCCATGGGGGTGTTGTCTGTTTTGTTTTGTTTTGTTTTGTAGTGCTGCAAAATGACTGAATAAACTACTACTGCTTATGTATAAAAAAATATACTAGCCAAGGAAAGTGTAGTATGCTCTGAGCTGCAAAAGATTAAATGTTCATATTTTTTTAAAGATTGCTAAATGAGTTATCACTTGAAGCAAAATTATGTTTAGGCCCCATGCTGGTTATTTTGAACTTACCCATAATCAGTGAGCAGAATCAGGGTACAGTGTGTGCTGGTTAACATAGTAAAAATTGTGTCCGGTGCTTTTTCCCACAGACGACGACTCTGATTGGTCTGCTGAAAACTGCTCGTCTGCTCCGATTGGTCCGTGTGGCCAGGAAGTTGGACCGGTACTCGGAGTATGGAGCGGCCGTGCTCTTCCTGCTCATGTGCACCTTCGCCCTCATTGCCCACTGGCTCGCCTGCATCTGGTAACTATAGCAACAGCAGGATGTCACAGTGCACGTGGCTGTACTTTCGTGACCAGACAAATCAGATCACTGGAGAAATCAGAAAACCCAATAAGTAGATTCAGTAGCTAGGACCACACCAACAACGACATAGTGTGAAGAAGTTTACTGATAATGTACGAAGTGGGGCAGAGGTGGCTGGGTTGAGACTCTAGGTGGGGGATCCTTCTCAATCTTCAATTGGCCCAGCTGGAACGGGACCCCTCGTAGGCGTCTTATGACTGAAAGATGAACAAAATAGAGGGTGGGAGGGTGGGGTCGAGTTAGCCGAGACAAACTGGGATGATGGGAAAGACTGCTACAAATAGGCTTCTTTGGAAATTCGAGGCGTGGTCGAGGTGAGTTATGGTTCGCTGGTGAGAGGAGAGGGCGGTTGAGGCGTGGTCCTGCTCCTGAATCTCAGTTAATCATATTAACTACTTTTATTGGTGTGTGTTTATGTGCAAGAAATCTGGCCATCTAAAACACCAGAGGCCAGTTCAGCAAACCTGCTGAACTTCTCCTGGATAGGTTTCTTTTACCTGGAAAGACAAATCCAGACATGAGTCTATTTATGTAGGTGTCAAAAGTATTGAAAATCAGAAACTAATCAATGTTAAAACTAGTATCAAAACTAGGTACTCACTAGAACAATTATGGATTCTAAAAAAGTCACATTCACAGGACAGAAATGAAGTATTCCTGAATGTCTTTAGAATTATCTTGAGCTGTATCAGAACAAGTATAAGAGCACATAGATAGACTAATACACTCATGGACACTATGGAACCTACCTGCACCACTGAGGGATTACACACATATAAGGCACATGGGAATAGAAAAGAAAGTTCTAAGATTTTATGCTGAAAATGACATTCTATTGTCTAAAGTAAGAGTGTTTTGCATTATCATTGTGGTATTAAAATCTGTCCTGAGTATTTTCCTTTGTATCAAAATCAAGCTTGAGAGTCTCAGAATTGAGAACTGAGTCAGACAGTGAACTCTCAAATCTCATCTAAATCTAGTGCTTTGTTCAAATGTAACCTGCACTCTTCATGGTTAAAACATGTTTTATAATTACATCTGAACTTGTGCTGCCAGAGTGTTAACCTGCAGAGAGAGGACAGGCCTCATGTGAAGCTCAAAACCTCCTGGCCTTGTGGCCATACCGGCTTGTAAAATCCTGATCCCGTCAGATCTTAGAAGCTAAGCAGGCTGGGCCTGGGTAGTACTCGGATGGGAGACCGCTAGGAATTCCAGGTGCCACAGTGGCAAGAAGAACTGGCATTGAGTCCTTAGGCAAGACACTTCACCCACATTGCCTAGTATGAAAGTGGTGTGAGCGTGAGTGATGGTGGTGGTCAGAGGGGTCGATGGCGCAGATTGGCACCCTCACTTCTGCCAGTCTGCCCCAGGGCAGCTGTGGCTACAGTAGTAGCTTACCACCACTGAGTGCAGAGTGACTGAATAATGAACTGTAAAGCACTTTGGGTATCTTGAAATGAATGAAGCTGTACAGGCTGCACTATCTTTGACTCATAACAGGCATTGGGGTTTAGGGAGTGAGGATTCAAATCTTTCAACTGCTTTTAGTCTAAATCAACATTATAATTATTATGTCAAACTAATATTCAAGTGAATTAATAGAGAGCAGAAAACAGTCAAAGAAGTGTCTCTCTGGCCCTGAGGCTCCTTCCCATAATGCCGTGTAAAAAGCTCTGAGTGCACTACATCAGAGGACACTATTTTAGACCTCATCGTCATTACATAGAGTGCACTTTGAAATGATTCTTCCTTTTTGTCTCCATGCACCTTCTGCTCCAAAAACAGCTCCTGCATTCTATTTTAGTCACTCCTTATTATGCCTAATAAATATATTTCCATTATTATAGGCCATCATGTTTTAACTTAAAATAGACATAAACAAATGAAAGGAGAGGTAGATATGTCTTCTTTCATCTTTTCCAGGTACGCCATTGGGAGTGTGGAGAGGAACGGTTCTATAGGCTGGCTCCACACACTGGGCGACCAGCTGGGGAAGCACTACAACGGCTCGATCAAAGGTACGACTCACTATTCCACGACTACTCACACATGGGTATACTCTGAGTGCTCAGATATGCTCTCTGACCCCTGAACCCTCTCTAACCCCTCTTTGACTCCTGACCACTCCCTAACTCCCTAACCATTCTATGACCACTGACCACTTTCATACCGTCTTTGAACATTGACCCTTCTCTGACCCTAAACCCTCTCTCTCCAAACCTCTCTCTGACCACTGACCCTTCTCTGACCATAAACCCTCTCTCTCCAAACCCCTCTTTGACCATCAACCCCTCTCTGACCCTAAACCCTCTCTCTCCTAACCCCTCTCTGACCACTGACTGTGCGATCCCTAACCATTCTCTGACCACTAACCACTCTCTGACTCTCACCTTTACCACTCTCGACCCCTGACCCCTCTCTAAACCCTCTCTGACCCCTGACCACGCTCTGACTCCTCTCTGACCACACACGTCTGAATGTTTTCCAGGCTCTGGTCCTTCTATCAAAGACAAGTACGTGACGGCGCTGTACTTCACCTTCAGCAGTCTGACCAGTGTGGGCTTTGGAAACGTGTCCCCCAACACCAACTCTGAAAAGATCTTCTCCATCTGCGTCATGCTCATAGGCTGTGAGTAACAACATTACTATGAGTATTGGCATGAACTGAGCTCGATGTTTACAGAGAGTGTCACCGAACAAATAATCATTCTGCAAGCTGTACTAAGAACTTTAATGTACAGTTGTATTTGCAGAATGAACAAATCAGACAATGAAATAATAATGTCACTCACAAATTTGAGATTCAGTGCAATACGTAATACATCAATGTTTATTGTTTTGTATTGTCACTGTCCTTGTCTGTTTTAAAAATGAGACCATGACTATGAGTTTGGAACAAAGATGAATTGAATTGAATTTAAAGTGGACATATAATGCAAAATGGACTTTCTGAACTTCAAAACATGTTATAACATTAGATAAAGCAAAAGAGTTAGAGCGCTTCACGAGGTCTTAAAAGAGTAAAAAATAATAGCACAGGTGCTCTACGAGGGTTAAGACAGTGGACTTAGAACAGAAAATTACCCTTACAGGAAAATGTAAAAATGGGTAAGGTACAAACCCGAGGCACTCTGACTGAATATATTAAAAGTCCTTTATTACATGAAGGGACGCCAACACATTTCGACCAGCAAGATGGTCTTTGTCAGGGTAAAATAGTAAAAACAAGACACACTGAGTGTCAATAAATACAATCAATTAATCACATGACAACATCACATGACAACAGGAAAAAGACAGCGAGCAAACCATGTCATGTGATGTTGTCATGTGATTAATTGATTGTATTCACTGACACCCGGTGTATTCAGTCGGAGTGCCTCGGGTTTGTACCTTACTCGAGCCAATGATGTTCATTATGTCTTCTTATATACTTTAACTTCTTGGGTTCTTTTTAAAGACATGCAGTAAAGTGTATTTACCTTGTTGACATGTTTCGGCTTCTGCTGCAAGCATCTTCAGAACTGTCACCGGTGTTGGTGGTGACGTATAACCGAACCCATCCAGAGAGCCATGAAAAAACACAGCATAAGCACTGTAGTAACACCATACACAAAACTTCGCCAACAACTCGTACACCCCAAGGACAAAATCCCACAACAACAAAAATACAACACCATATACGAAATTCAATGCAAATCATGCAATAAATCATACACAGGGGAAACGGGCCGGGCATTTCACATCCGAAAAAAGGAACACCAAAAGGAATGCGAAAAGGAAACGTCAGGGAGACTCACCAGAACACAAAAAGATAAAGCAGAACAGGAAAACCTAAAATCCGCCATATCAGACACTGTAAAAGGAACAACCACATTCTGGATTGGGACGGGGCTCGGGTCATTGGATCAGAAAACAACAAGTTCAAATGCTGGATCAAGGAGGACACTGAAATCAGGAAACGAGGCACGGACAGGATTAACCGTGATGATGGCGCGTTCCTCCTTTCACACACCTGGGACACCCTCCTCCAGAGACACCGGGCGATGGGAGACGTGGTCAGTCTGAGTGACCTGCCAGCTCCATCAGGCTGACCACGCCTACAGGAAGTAACAACAGCTGATATACGACACCTCACCACCAACACCGGTGACAGTTCTGAAGATGCTTGCAGCTCGCAGCCGAAACATGTCAACAAGGTAAACACACTTTACTGCATGTCTTTAAAAAGAACCCAAGAAGTTATTGTACCTTACTCATTTTTACATTTTCCTGTAAGGTTAATATTCTGTTCTAAGTCTACGTTATAACATTGTTCCCTCTTCCAAAATATACCTGGAATTGTATTTAGCTTCATTTTTCATTTTGGTTCATTTGGTGGGTCAGGCTAAGTATGTGAATGGGGCGAGTGGCACGTGCGACTGAACACCTGTTAATACAGAGACATAGATCCTGTTTGAAGGACAATATAAGCTACTATTTTGTCTAATGTATAATGTTTGAAAAGTAGATTTGGTCCATGCCTGCGCTGTCTCTGTACATTAAATTTATTGTCTGCTCAGTGATTGACAGGAACCACAGAAAGCATGTTCAGACTCTGCCATTGTCCCCTCACAGCGCCACACATGGGACTGGACAGTTTAGTGGACAGAGCAGGGACGGTGATGAGAGCTGACAGGGACGCAAAGGTCAGCAGTGTCCAGCATGACAAGTGGACAAAAGGACAAAACCCTGACTGTCCGCTGGAAAATAAAACAGTGATGGACAGAGAAAAAGAGCACACGTGAACCTGCAGATGGAGCAGATAAAACACAACTGGAAATACAGTAGATTTATGACTAGATCTACTGTACTTTGGAGCTTTTAATGTTAACGTGGCTGTACCCAACGTGATAATGTGAAATATGTCATGGCCAGTACAGGGGTGGGCAAACTACAACCCTGGGGCCATATGCGGCCCATTAATTTCTTTTAATCCGGCCGGCCGAACTTGAATAATAGTTATAATAATAATCATCATCATTTTCAGTGTTTTAAAAGTCATTTCAGTAAATATATATATATGTATTGATATATATATATATATATATATATATACACATACACACATATATAGACTCTATAGTATTATAAGGAATACGATAAGAGGCTACAGTCACAACACAAACACATGGCATCAGCGCCGCTCGAACGAACACGGCAGAACACCGGAGCGGCGCCGTCACACTCACAAGCTCATTTACACACTATTTAACTCTTAACACAATAACTCTATTTACCTGTGAGGCTCTGTACTCAAATTTGCCCAAAACTAATGAAAACAATCCTCTTATCTTCTCCAGGATCTTCTCGGGTCCCGGCCCTCCACACAGTCTCCTGTGTAGAGGTTTAGGCTAAAGTCACAAGCCGACATTAACCAGTGTGTGAATCAAAATAAGAGTCGTAGGATTCACCTTAGCCAGGTGCACTCATTTCCGCTTAATGTTACTTTTCTTTAGCCAGGCTGGTGCCACATAGTGTCTCCGCTCAATTTTATTTCTCTCCAGCAACTATCAGGAATCAAAATACAATAGGCGGTTCGCAAAAACCCTGGAAGTGCAAGTTTGGGCACCAGCCAATCAGCGAAGAGCCTTATATTCTGTGTTGTCAACGATTCCCAGAGAATGTTTGGTGAATTTCATCAAGGGGAAAGACGTTAGTGTCCATCTTCCTACAGGATTTGGTAAAAGCTTAATATACCAGTTAACCCCATTAGCGGTGCATTACATATATCATGACCACATAGCAGTGATTGGTTAAATGATAAAAAGTACCTGCCTACCGTCGAGTGAATGAAATCTAAGGCTGCGAGGTCAGACGGTTTGTACGAAGTGAAACAATGTAAAACCGGCTGATGAATCAGGCAAACATTTTTTGCTTTGCAGAAGGGTCCCGCTGAAAATAAGACATACAAACTGTTCCTTGGACACACTTTGACTTGAAGTTGAACTCTCCATGACTGTACAGCACACAGCTCTGTTCTTATCCATTCATTAGTCTGGGCAGGACAGAGCGAGCACACTGAAATACAATATGAAAACCAATCACTTGACTTCAGGTCACCCCCATCCTGCTCCCCCAACACATATTTCAGGGCTGTGATGTAAGGTAATGGGCAGAAGCAACGTCATGATGTCAAATTTTCTCAAAACTTGAGGCTCTCCCATAAACCTCGATTAGGTCACTCTGACTTAGTGAACTCAAAAGCCAAATACATGAACCAAAAAAAGTGATATGAGCACATTTAAAATTTATAAAAATCTGTCTGTGCAGATACACGTTCAGTTATAAACAAAATATTAATCATAGCCTAATACAAAATCATGACTTAAGATCACAGTGATGCCTCTGTGTGCTGTGTGCATGATAAAGCATTTGCATCATCCATCAGGTATTGTTGTTGCACTGATAGCATTACCGTGATGACAAAACTCTGCTCAGGCCTCTGAAAGTTGTGAAAAATGATTATAAACTAATCGCTCTGAATAAATAGGATGCTCAGAATGAATAAGGTAAGTGAGGAATAACGCTGGACCAATGCAAACTGTTGAAAATAGTTCTGTTTTTCATGTTTTTAAGACTTCTTTAACTCTCTTGCTCTTCTGCACTCATGTACGCCAACAAACCTTTCTTTTAACCATCTCTTCTCACAGCTTAAATTTTTGCACCTTTCTATCTTTATTTGAGTGATTTGTGGCTGTAAGATGAAAGTGGACACCGACTGAAAACCAGAATTTGAGTGGTTTCTTTGAAATAAGTACAGCTCCATGAATAACCCCTTAAACTCTCTTGCTCTGCAGCGCTCATGTACGCCAGCATCTTCGGTAACGTCTCCGCCATCATCCAGCGTCTGTACTCGGGCACGGCGCGCTACCACACGCAGATGCTCCGAGTGCGAGAGTTTATCCGCTTCCACCAGATCCCCAACCCCCTGAGGCAGAGGCTGGAGGAGTACTTCCAGCACGCCTGGTCCTACACCAACGGCATCGACATGAACGCCGTGAGTACACAATAAACACAGAGTCGACCATCTCTCACCCATCCTGCCCTCTTCCTGTATGTATGCCCCACCCTCATCCTACCTGTTTGCCCCTCCCCCACCTCACCTGTGTGCCATGCCCTTGTCTCCATGGTGCCAAAAAGTGCGAGCGTTACGCATTAGTACACACACAAAGGCTAGCTGGTACAGGGGTATAACAATATTGGCTTATGGAACTGTAAGGTCCTGGGTCTAAAATGTAGTTTCAGTGCAGCAGGTTGTTTTAGCTTTTAAGAAATAAGTTATTTTTTGAAGCTTATACACACATTCTGATGTTTGGGCCTCATTCATGACATGTTTTACAAAGAAATGGATTTATACTCACGTAAGACGCAATGAAAAATTATGAAAGCCATCGGTTATTTCTGTAAGTAGGTGACTTAAAGTGTGATAACGTGTGCTTGGACATTTTTAAAGCTGTTTTTCACACTGCAGAAGGAGGAAGTAGGGATTGAATAACTTTAACTGGCTCTCACAAACCCTTTGGCACATTTTTAATATCCACATGCCTACACGGGCACTTGCTTTAGAATGGTTTTGTTCAGATGGAGAGATGAAACTAAGCACAGTCTATCAGAGCGCTGCTTTCGGCGCTTACTTTTGTGTTGGTGAGAAATGAGTATTGTATTATTAGTGTCTTTATCTCTGTGCTGTGATGTTTGTATCCGGTGTTGGTGAATTAGGTGTAACTCTCATTTAAGAAGAAATCTCGCCTGCTAAGAAAGCACTGTGAATCTGTGAATCAGTGTGAAGCTGAGTTCTCTCCTCTTCTTAAAGTGTAAGATATAAACCTTTTCTAAGAAGACATTCATGAATGAGGCTCTTGTTCTTGGCAATCTGTCAGGAGCAGTGCAGAGCTCAGGGAGAGGTTCAGGAGGTCCTAGCTGGAGGATTAGTCTACAGTTGCATATTTTAGACTTCAAACACAGGGTGAACATCCACACAGAAAAGCCTGGGATTCTTTGTCAGAAGCTTCAGTTTAGCTGACATAGTAACTCAAATGAAACAGTTTTCCTTAGAGTAAAGTATGATAATAATGATAGCATTAAGGTTTATCACTTACTGTATTTTTCGGACTATAAGACGCACTTAAACTCCTTTAATTTTCTCAAAAACTGACAGTGTGCTTTATAATCTGGTGCACCTTATGTATTAATTCTGGTTGTGCTCACTGACATCAAAGTGATCTGTCAAAATGTTTCAGTACGACTTCGGTAAACTACAAAGCCACACTGCTTGATGGACTGTTGGAGCATTACAGCTACCGTAGTCAGGAGCCTCTTGGAAAAAGTCCGACAGAAGCTGACCACATCAGCGCACAAGTAGCGATCAGTTTTTTTCAGTGCTTACAGTTTATGCAAATGAGCCATGTGGTTTTAAGCTTTGTTTCTCTAAAACATAAACATGTGCACAAAGCTGCATTAAATACAGTGTTACTCAAAGTATATTTGAGTCGTCCTCACAGGAAACAACAAAACAAACTTAAATGATCCAGACACATTCACATTCATAATCCACATTCACCAAGACAGAGAGACAATGCTGGAGCGAGTTACTCCACGATTGGCCAATGGATCGTGGACGCCTGGACTAATGATCAGTCTCAAGTGTTGTTTCTTTGTTTCGCTTAATGCTCCTTATAATCCGGTGCACCTTATGTATGAAAATAGACGAGAATTCAACATTATTGATATTGCACCTTATAATCTGGTGCGCCTTGTAGTCCAAAAAGTACGGTATTTAAGAGAAACATACAGTATACATTCTTACTCTGCCTCTCCATGAAACACATGAAACAGATGAAACACATTCGTGGGAGACATAGCCTAGTGTACTGTTAGATTTGAATGGCTCCCTGATCCTGCTGAAGGTGTCCGTGCATGTTGTTGAGCTTGCGTTGTGCGTTGCTAGGACGATCTGAAGCCACATCATGCTTGGTCATGGTCCAACCCCAACATGGAGAATAGGACTAATGTAAGTATGCCACACGCTGGAGAGTAGAGCAGGCGTTTGTGCGTGGACGTGCACGCATAGACCAGCCTTACTGATAGACAGTGGACACACGCCTAAACACACAGCTAAACATAAAGTCATGTGCTACAGGACATGTCCCAGGCCCATACAGTGTCTATCAATAATAGTCTATGTGTGCACAGAGAAGTGTTGGCCGTAGCCTTTCTGTGTGGATTCTGATGCGTACGAGTGCCATTTGGGTTCACTGTGACACTTTTCATTTTGTGTGTGTTTGGCTTCATTTGTTTCATTATCTGGACATGATTGTGCTTTAAAAATGAATTGTGGAAGAAGAGGGGTAAGGTGTTTTTATTGCTCAAAAATAATAAAAAAAAATTAAATAAAATACTGTCAGGGCCAAGGCTAGAAGTTTAGCAGAGGCACTTATATGTTTTTACAGCACAACTCTCCTCTTCTTAGTGCCTATCCTGTCACTGCTTTCACTCTGGCCTCTGCTCCTGTGTCCGCTCACACTCACATGTAGCTGCAGTAGCCCTGAGCCGTCCCAGCCCTGTGCTAGAAAGTCAAGGTTAGCGAAGTAAAACCATGCTCACAGATTTGGCTGATTGTGTTCTGCAGCACGTGCTCCTTTTCTTCTCCTTGCTCACTGTTATGTGCATATAGTGTTAATAATGTCACAGTACAGGTGTATCTTTCTAAGAGATGGTGTTCACATGGTAATACCAATGTCCAAATGTCCACACTATTCCCTGTTTAGTGTATTATTTAAGGATCACGCCATTGTTAATAGTATTTGATTGTATTTATGTAAATATAGACCATAATGCAGAGGTGTTAAACTCAAATTCACAGAGGCCAAAATTAAAAACTGGGACTTAGTCGTGAGCCAAACTAAATATTTATTGAAAAATTTCAACAACATCTGCATGTTTCCTGTTCTTTCGAGATATATAACTTTAAACCTTTTCTTATTAAAATAAATGATTAATAATAGTTTTGCTTAAACATTGAATCCAGAACAAGTGTAATATAAAATAATAACAACTTGTCTCTATATCTTATCTGTAGCTGGTGGGCAGCTCTATACATGTTTGATATGATCTCGTGGGCCAAATATAATGATACCGCGGGCCAAACCTGGCCCCTGAGCCTGAGTTTGACATGTCTGCCATAATGCATTGTGAGAGGTGGAAAAAGCACCGTGGACTGTGACAGGTCTTTAACTGGACACAACACGAGTGACTGAGAGCAGATAATGGAGTCCACCGTCTATTCCAACATCCCTCCATTACAACATGCCTCTATTTAGTGCCGGTTTTTCGACGCTTTTTAGTATCGCTATTCCAACACATCATATACTGTATTTATTTTTAATTTTTTATTTTTTTTGAGAGTTGCGATAGTCTAACCAGGCGCGTCTATTGCTGTTCTTCGTTCCTATGTAAGACAGACGTCCCTAAACACTTGCCTACAGCCCCGTTGCAAACTTCTATCAGCCTAATATCTCCCTTTTGCATCCTACCACGTGGCAGGCGAAGTTTCTTATTTGTTCTGTAGTGCCAAATTGCAATGCAAAGCCAAGCTTGGCCAGCAGCCACCTTGATGTAATTGATTTGACCAAAAGAAATATGGGAGAAATATGGAATATATGGGAGCACAAAGTATAATAGACTACCACATTAATATTATTAATGTCGGAAAAGCAGAAAATTAGTAGTTAGTGTAAAAAGTTGAATCAGTGGGATACTGGAAAAATAATGTTTCTGTCACAACGCTGAAAATTAGGCCTGTTGGAATAGCAGCGTGTAACCGTCAGATAGAAGCTTTATTTAAACACACTGTTGACCCCTGAATCTGAAAAACCCTGAAATAAACCGTTACGATGTTAAGTTGCCAGTGTCATCTGCTTACCTTAACTCAAGCTGTTAAAAGAGAGATGTAGTTTACAGAAACTTGTATGCTGATTAGTCCCTAAATGTTTGGGCCAATCCAATCAATCGATGTATATGTATATATATATGTATTTATTACAGAAATCGAGTTTTTATCAGAGTTAAGCTGGCTTTTTTAACCAGTCTGGGCTGGACTGTGAGCACTTGAACACACTGGACAATGTAGACTTCACTCTGCTCTTCAGATCTTCTAAAACATTTCTCCTGTACACACCTGAGGCTCAGTGGGTAAACCGTGCCAATTGTCTATTTTGAAAACTACAAAAATGTACAATTACAGTAGATTTTATGTAGATTTGCTGTGCTATTCTAACCCCTCCTAACACCAGCGTATCTTCTCCACCCACTCACCTGCTCTCTCTCTCTCTCTGCCCTCTCCTCTGATCTTGTGGCTCGCCCGGTGCAGGTTCTCAAAGGCTTCCCTGAGTGTCTGCAGGCCGACATCTGCCTGCACCTGAACAGGACTCTGCTGCAGAACTGTAAGGCGTTCAAGGGCTCCACTAAAGGCTGTCTGCGCGCTCTGGCCATGAAGTTCAAGACCACGCACGCGCCGCCCGGAGACACGCTGGTGCACGCCGGCGACGTCCTCACCGCGCTCTACTTCATCTCCCGAGGCTCCATCGAGATCCTGCGCGGAGACGTGGTGGTGGCCATCTTGGGTGAGGAAGTTTTAGCGCTCATCTTTTGTGACAGAGTTTTGCAGTGACATTCTACTTGTATGCCTATGGTGGAATGTTCAGCAGTTTCCATGGTGACACAATGCACACATTAGTGACTGACACTGACAGTCTGAAAACTCAAGAAAAATATAAGCGTTCTTAGTCCTGTTTAGGAGTTAGATTTTCAACAAAAGGATGAGAGTGACTAACTGAAAAAATGTAGGGTAATACGAGCTTGGGACTTAAAGTTAATGTGTGAGAGACTAACATAGGGTGACCAGATTTTCAAAATAAAAAACTGGGACACCCCTGGTTTGTGGTGGTTGATAGTAGGGCCCGGTCAAGCAGAAGTAAACAACAAGGCCAAAAATTCAAGTTAATGCATCTGATATAAAAATGTATTGAACAGATACATATGTACTCTAGTTTATGAAACTGTTGACCTTTTTTCTGTACCATTTTTGGTTCTAAAGTTCCATATGTTTTAAACAGACCATGTATGAAACATGGAACAAAAATTATTTCCCAAATTTCAAAGACCTGCAAATCATGGATGTATTTCATCATATCTTGTGTTATTCCATCTTTGAACTGTTGATGAAGGTACATGATGTAAAAAAAAAAAAAAAAAATTAAAATGATAAACATTTGCTTGGAAGGACTGACATATTTTATAGAAATAGTTACCTTTTATTTTGAAGTAATATTAAAGTATTTGGAAGAAAAAAGCTGACAAATTATGCAAAATCACACACCTTCTACTTGCTTGCACAATTTTCCCTCCGTTACCATGACCTTTCTTAAAAAAAAAATCTCATTAGTCAAAAAAGTAAGAGGTTTTTCAACCTAATCTTGTACCATATGGTAGAAAACTATATGAAGCAAATATTCAAACCAGTTTGTTAAGGATATGGAAGTGAGAACCACTAGTTATCACTGTTTTGGATTTATTGACCAAAAAGTGCTGCATATTTCATTCCCTCCGTTACCAACATGAGTTTTTAAATTTTTTGTCAACAACTTGAAAGAATATCACAGGTTTAACTTGACCCTGTTGGAGTGTAACTCTTTCCTACATTCTGATACTTTACTTATTTCAATAGTCCCTCTAGTTTCTGAATAAGAGACATTTGAATGTCAAAAATCTGCCCGTTTCCCTCTGTTGACCGGACCCAGTAATAAAATTGTGAAATGAGTGCACAATTAAGAATTGTTCTGCAATCTGCCTATTCATGACGAACATGTGAGTCAGTATTGTCACATTTTCTTTGTGTTTTGGTCAATTTTCAGCAGCTTTTCTGTATTTTACCTAAATTAAGGACAACTTATGCTTCTCTTTACTGTTGACAGGGATCAGATTGGTCGAAAATAGAAACATCTGGGGCATTTCTTTTGTAAAACTGGGACAAATCAGTGGTTTTGGTTAAATCTGCTGGGACAGGAGACACTGTCCCGGGTAAATAGGCTCTATTCACGCCTCATCACAAACCAGGAAGATGTCTGGAAATATGCGATTGCAACTTCTGCTGTACCTACTGACTGTGATAAAACCATAAAACCCACTGAAGTAAATGTGATCAGTGGTAAAATGAAGACTGCAGACGTATGTGCTGTTTGGAATCATCTGGAATTTGGCGCCTCATCTCTTCTAATCACATGTACCAGTGCACTCAGAGTTGTGTGTCAGTGGGGAAATGATGAAGACTGAGGTGTGGTTGGAATTGTTGATGAGCCGAACATAACAGAACACTACAATGACATGAAGATGAAGAAAACTGGAACATTTTCTCATTTTTCCGAGATTTTGTCAGATTTACTTCCCTGAACAGAGCCCAAGTTTTCATCGCGTGTTTCCAAACGTCTTCCTGGTTTGTGTCGTAAGCGTGAATAGAGTCTATAAGGACATCCGGTCACCCTAGTTTAGTATCATAAATCATCAGTTCTTTCTGGTCAAATTGTGTTATAAAAAAGATTAAAAACAAGATTAAAGTCTGACTTGAGTAACAGATCTTCAGACAGAGCAACGTCTAAAGTTACTTTCACCCCCTCAGGGAATGTTGACGACATCAGCTGCAAAGTGTCAGTTGGGTGGAATCGTAACTCGGTTTTACTTCCAGTGCCTCCTGGTAAACATTTTTTGGTAGAAATGAAAAATAGCCTAAACAGATTTAAGTGGGAAATTGTGTGAAGACAAAAGAGCCACTCATATGCCACTCCACAAAAAGATATGATAAAAAATAAAAGATAAATGTAGTTATTGTTTTGTTAATGTTGTGTTCGTTTTATAAAGCGAAACTCAAAGTCACTTTATTGTACCCATAATGAAATGTGTCCTCTGCATTGACCCGTCCTTCATTGCTGCTGGGGCGAAGTGTCAGGAGCAGTGGGACCTATCTCCAGATCTTGAGCTAATTTTGGTACTAACCAGGACCGGCCCTGCTTAGCTTCTGAGATCAGATGAGATCAGGGTTTGACAAGGAGGTTTGGCAAAGGTTTAGGCAAGTGCTGTGTCCATAACCATAAAGGGATTCAAAAGCAGCCAATATGACTCCATGGATTTTTTTATAGAGCAGCTCTATTATTTTAAGACATTATCAGGAACTGAAAACAAAACACTCTTCTCAAAACAACTTCTCCCTTCACTAACAAGTACGCAACAAATCCACCACTTTAACAAGAGGGTGCTGATGTATGTGACTTGTGCTGTGGGGATGACTCTCTCTTACACACAGACACACACACACACACACACAATGAGACAGGCTAAACTAAATGCTGTGGATGTTGGAGCTGTAGATCTAAAGAAGCTGAGATATGTGAAGGACATGGTGGATTAGAAACACATGAAATGAAGAGGAGTTTTTATTCTGCCAGAAAACAGGAGGCCAAGAGGACAGCCATAAAGTCTTTATTTATTAAAATACAATGTTTTCCCTTTTTTATATAAATTAATAAATACATACACTTATAGACAGAGAGGACATGTAGAGGATACTACATAAAGCAGGAAGTATCAGGGCAAACTGATAGTCCAGCTGATGTAGTTTGGGATTTTAGTCAAGAGCGCCATCTCCTGGTCAAAAATATACTCTTGTACTGAGGAGGCCAAAGCGCCTAACTCAGTTCTGCATGATATGAATTGTATTTCTTTTAAAAAAAGCAGTAAATATTGTTCTGGCGAGCTGCTCACTCTGGTAAGACTTTATGTTAGGACTAAACAATGAAAAAGTGAGGCTGTCTTACAAAAAATGCAATTAAAAAAAAAACTTCTAAAATAAAAGCAATGCAGCTTTAGTCCATGCATGAGGTCCAATTATAAAATGTGTTTATTTTGTAATTCTGAATGATCTTAAACGGGCCAGTCAGAGTCAAACAAAGGGCCATATGTGTCCCAGAAGCTGAACAATGCCCAGGTCTGCTCTGGTACAACACTGTTCAAAGTATGTTCCATGATTATATATTTATTTATCCATTCATACTCAGGAAGCTGCTTCTGTTTTGTGTAGAAGAGCAAGACTCTTCCTCACTCTGGTGCAAGTGTGACTTTGATTGTGTCTTATGTAAAAACAATATTATTATTGTCAGTGGTGCCATGTGGGTTCTGAAGGCATCACAACAGATCTATGTGTTTGCTCAGATTTTTTATTTTATGGTTTTAACTTTTAACCGGGAAAGAAATCCCATTGAGATTAAAAATGTCTTTTTCAAGGGAGTTCTGGCCAGGACGCAGCAATTTAGCACATAGTAATAACATACATACAGTGTACATACTATTACATACTAACAACAATAAAATGACATAAACGCAGATTAGTAAAAACAAGTGCACATTACTGATGATTTCACCTTTGATTTAAAAGCATTTAAGAACAATATGTGCCAGATGAGACGAGGTGAGTGGACAAAGGCTTTCCTCTTCAGCTCGGTGCAGCACAGGGAACAGAAAGCAACAGCTGATCTTTAGATCACCAGGAGTATGAGTCAAAACTTCTCAGTGTGATTATGGGGACAATAATCACGGGGAACTAAATGCTGAAGTGGATAGATACACTGAAGTCACTTTTCCTGAAATTTTACTTCTCAGAATAGTTTAAGACACCATACTGCGACTCCTACTAGTGTAATATATTTGACTATGTATGAGTATGTATGAGTGAGCCAAAGTGACAAAAGCTTTATGTGACAATATGAAATCATTTGAACATTAGTGTTTCTTGCAGCTCCTTCAGATTTGGTTTAGTTTGTCTCATTTTTATGGTATGACCTTTGAATATCAGATTGTGTTCATAATGTAATGTTTTTCTCCTTCAAATTAAATTAACTTCAAATTATAAATCTAATGTTACGTCTAGACAGTTACTTGAGTTGTAATTTCCCTAAACAAAAATCCTGCTTCCATTTGTAAGAGGAAGAGTAGCGCATAATAAAACAGCTGATCTTTTCCTTGTCTCAGGTAAGAACGACATCTTCGGCGAGCCCATAAACCTGTACTCTCGCCCGGGGAAGTCCAACGCAGACGTGAGGGCCCTGACCTACTGCGACCTGCACAAGATCCTGAGGGAGGACATCATGGAGGTGCTGGACATGTACCCTGAGTTTGCAGACCACTTCTGGAACAACCTGGAGATCACCTTCAACCTCAGAGACGTACGCTGACAGAACACGGGGATCAGTCTGTGTCACTGCATTTGTAGTACTTCGAATTATGGGAAATATTTATGCCTTGAGATTTAAAAAAAAAGAAAGAAATTTGCTAAAAAAAATATTAATGCACAGTTCAAGGCAAAATATATTAAAGCCAGTGGGGTGATGCAGTTATTTATTTATTTATTTTTTTGCTACATTTCATACATCAAGTAAGACAGTAACACATAAATACATAAACATTATAAAGACACATAATTAAATCCCCCTGCTTGTTTCTATTGAGTATGGCATTAAGCTATTCTATTTACATGGAGACAAACAAGGAACAACACCAGGCTTAGTTTACAGGTCAGATCAGTAGAGAAGCAACCTGCTCACTGTAAGAATCATGTGTTTTTCAAAGTATTTTTAAGAATAAATATACATGTAATAGCCACAGGACTATGTCAAAGAGGGATTGTTGAGCAAAACTGACTTCATGGAGCTTTCTACCATGTTAAAATGTTGTTCTCTTACCAAAAAACATGGCTGAAAAAGTTTTACATGTCATCCATGCATGTTTGAGTGATCTAGTGATCTCTCCTGGGCCCTATTCAAACCATCCTCATGGTTAGCAGTACGATCCTATCTAAAACTCTGTACACAAGCCTATAGCACCCATGCTCCTGCACGACAATTCTTCATAAATACCCAAAACCAGGGTACAAAACACTAGGGGTGTAACGGTACAAAATCACAGTTCAGTACGTACCTCGGTTTTCAGGTCACGGTTCGGTTCATTTTCGATGCAGTATGGGAACAAAATGCAAAATCATTTGCTTTTTGTGTTTAAAACAACTATTTATTTTAACATTATACAAACAGGAAATAAATGCAAAGTGCTGCTTGGTAATACCAATAAGTTAAATAAAATATTTTTAAATTAGCAACAAAGGTATTTATCAAGAAATGAAATATTATTTTTAAAAATTCCTTGTAAAAAAGTAAAGCACAGTACTAACAGTTCCAGCATGAAGTTTTCCTCAATCTTCTTCAAGACAAAAGTGAGGACCAGGGCATGAGGACCAGGAGTAACAACTGTAGTTTTGTGAAGATTCACGTGGTTCGGAGGGACGTAGTCAGTTGTTGTGAAAGCAGCCGCCCTAAGCATAAAGCGCTGCAGGAAACACTCCCACCCCAATCACAGACAAGTTCCCTCATGAATATTCAAGAGCTGAGCCTTCTGTGTAGCTGCACATGTAATTGCGGAATGTGAACACACACAAATTGCACGAACTCACTCGTGCACAGCCCTGCACCGAACCGAATGTCCTGTACCAAAACGGTTCAGAACGAATACATTTACTGTTACACCCCTACAAAACACTACACTACAACTTCATAAACCTGATGTGATGTGCAGGAGTTTCAGCTGGAACACACGATTGTGTTGTAATAGCACAAAAGTAATAGAAAGGGGAGTGACTTTAATATTATTAGTTACTAACTTACCATAGTCAGAGCTCCCCTGGGGCTGTGACTTAAATGTGAGTACAAATCTGCACTACAACCTGTCAAATCACTGTCACATGTTACTGTATTTATAAGTACATGTTCTTTCAGACCAACATGATCCCCGGCTCTCCCAGCAGCGACGAGTCCAAGTCTGGAGGCTTCAACAAACTGCGCAGACGAAAGTTATCCTTCAGACGCCGCACAGAGAAAGGTAGATGTCAGCAGAGGGGAAATGGAATATGATACTAGGATGATATTTAAATTGATAGTTTCATTATTAACTAGACTTTTTTGATAACTTTATTCACTTGCTCCATTCATGGTTACAGATGACGCAGACGCAGGTGAGATCAAAAAGACCCACAAAGCCATCAGGAGGCGACAGAGAGACACGTCCCTCAGCCAGAGGACAGAGGAAGTCCCCCAGGCCCGAGAGTGGACAGCCCCACGCAGCTCTGTGTCCTCTCACTCCAGTGGAGACGAGGTGAGCACATGGACCAGGGACTAAGCACTTTGATCATTTTTTATTTATACTGGGTCCACTTCACCCACATGCACCGAACATTCTGTTTTACTCTGTGGAAACTCGATTTCAACATGCAGTAAAGGTGTTATTAATTGTCATGGGTTTCCAGCACACAGATAACAGATACAATACACAGATACTAATCAATACTAGAATTATTATCAAAACAACATTGTTACTGCTAGAAATATTCTATTAAAAACAGCACTGAAATGAAGTTTAAAGTGTTTGGACAGTTTGTGAATACATACGCTCGAGTATCCCAGTTATGATCAGGTTTTTTCAGTATCCTGGTTTTGTGAGTGTCCATGTAGACACAGTATCCTGATTTCAGTTTCCTCCATAAGCCAGTATCCCGGTGATGAGAAACCAGGATACTCCTACTGTTTTTTTCTGATAGTATTCAGGATACTGAGGCCTGTAGATGCAGTATGCTGATTTCTTACCATGGGGCCTTACTAAGCATGTGCCAACTGAAGTAACAGATACAGTAGGAGCATCAACCTTTCCAAAACTCAAACTGCTACTAGGACTTTTAAAGTAATAATATTTTATGCCTAGAAGCAAAATAAAGCAGTCCACTGTTTAATAGAGCCACACTTTAACACCAGACTCATTTCTGTGATGGTTTGTGTCACTCTTGAACCAAACTGACTCTTTGACACTCATATTTTTTCATACATATTTTTACAGTAATAATATAATAACGCTTTTCACTGAAGTTATGACAGAGCTCCACCATCTCATGTTCTTACTTGAATGTATTCTGGCCTCTGGGTAGTAGGTGGGCCCACACTTCATGTTGTCTAATGAAAAATACATATTAGAAAATTTTCACTGGGCCCCAGGTAAACAGTACCATGTACCTCGCCCAGTCCGACGCCCCTGACTGGATCTTGCTCTGAGACAGAACATACATTAGGTCGCCTGAGAAGTCAAAGCACAGAGTTTTGAGTGAGTTCCGTGTGTGTTCCAGGGGGATGAGGCGGTGGTGACGGGCCTGGCTCCTCCTCCTGCTCTGGGGAACCCTCACGCTCCAGCCAAGGTCCTGAACTTCAGAGAGAGCACAGAGCCGGAGGGAGGGCCCAAGACCGGGAACACATGCAACGCTCTGTCAGGTCAGACCACAGCTCGAGCACCTACTGTACATTGGTTTACTTTAAAGGTGCATCGTGTAACTTTTCTGGTGGCAGAGGGTTCGACAAACGCTTTTCTCCGTGAAGATTTTATTGCTTCATTTGTAATGGTTCATAATATGATATTAAACATTTCTATCTTCATAGAAACCAAACCAGACCAAGTTACAGGTCAGATCTGTGGAGAGGTGATCCCGCTCACAGCCACAATACCTGTTTTTCTAGGTATTTTTGAGCTATAAAACCACCTGTAATTAAATAAATTTGTACATTGCAAAAAAGCTTGGCCAAAATTTAAGATATAAACACTTAAATCTATCACAAAATGATGTAAACGTAGTGAAATGATCAGTCCATGCTGCAACATCATTTTACTTGACAAATTATCTTAAAATAAATGACCTCTAAACTAGAATGAAGCATCTCAGAACTATTAAGTAGATAATAAATCTGAAAACAAAATGAATAACCTGATATAAGTTTTAAAATCATTGCCAGACCAGAGAAATTTGCAGTGTAGAACTGTTTAATGCCATATTGTGGAACATTCCACACAGAGCAGTGATATATCCATAGAAACAAGCAGGTGATGGACCCTCCACCAGAGAAGTTACACAATGCCCCTTTAAAGAGTGCATTAAAATAAAAGTATCAAAATCCTTTCTATACTTAATTAAAAGTGGCCTATGTACTTTTTCTTCTTGTCTCTATGGGGATGTTATAGTGGGAATGTTCCACAGCCTTTTTTTTTTTTTCTATTTATTTAAAATAAGGTCAGTGCACAGAAAACATTAAACACAGAGAGAAAAGCTGCTCTGTGCCAGATTTAGCTACATGCTTCTTTCCATCTGCAGATACAAAAGACTTTAAGGAAACGATTTACACAACAACAATTCATCATTAACAATGTCTCTTTAAAATAACAACTATCCAATTCATCATTAAAACAATCAAAAGTAATCCATTCTCATTTCCATAAACAATAATACAAGGTTTCAAATTCATCATTATCTTCTAAAAATGTCATTGTTATCAGTATGCTCTAAAATGTACAATTACCAAATTCATCAGTGTTATTATCCTCTAAAATACAATTCACCAACAACTTTACCATCAAGACAAATGTCATAAGTCAAACAGTCGCAGCCGCAGCCAATCACGGCCTGCTCACTTTGTCTTTTTAAAGAGTTGTGTAAGCGTATGTGGTCACGGCTTGTCAAGCAAAGACACTGCGCTCGACACATTATACAGAGACGTTATTATTATTATCAAAGTGATTTATGTTAATTTATGATAATCTTAGTTATTGGTGGTGAAGAGGGAGAGGACATTTTCACATTCAGAATATATGATATTTTTGTTTTAAATTGTTAATCACTATGGCAACTGTCTCAATTATTCATCATTCCCAAACCCATGGATAGACAGTGTTGGGGAGTAACAGATTACATGTACCAGTGTTACGTAATCAGAGTACAGATTATGAGTAACTGTATTCAGTTACAGTTAGTGTTTCAGTGAGTGGTAATTGGATTACAGTTACTTTGTTGAAATTAATGGATTACACAGCTGTATTTTCCTGTTTTCACATTTTGGGCAACATCCCTTTTTTATTTTATTTCGGTAATTCCACTCATTGCCGGGGACCCAAACAGAACACGCGCAATAAGAGCGATGTAAACGTCATGTTAACGTTGGTCAGTCACACAATGTAGGAGGTCGAGGAGCCAGTAGAACAGAGCCAACAGTGCACAGACAAAAACGCATTTGTGTCTTGGAAATTCAGACAGCACAAAAGAGAGGGACGGACGTGTATATAAAGAAAAATAACAAATACAAGTTTGTTACCTACAAGTTAAATGTCAAACTGAAGTTACTGGCACTGGTGAAAACTCAACTGCATATGCTCATGGTATCTGCAGTACTGTAGTGACCTGCCACATGAGGGGACGTACACACAAACACACAAACACCCACCTTCATCATCGTCATCAACCTGAGAACACGCGGACCACATCTGCGTCCGTACGGCGCGGACACCGACGTCCTCCCGTGCGCTGTGTGTGGACTGTGTTTTCTCACGTAGATCGTGCTTCCTCCTGTACACCTCTAAATCAGAACTAAAACCAGGACTAACACCGAGACTAACCCAGTCCAGGACTAAACTAGGACTAAACCAGGACTAAACCAGGTCTAAACAATATGACACCTAACAGTAGGTGGACATAATTTAAGGCAGCAGTGATCTCATATAGAAATCATTTCTCTATCAATAATATTTTGAATCTGGTTAAGGAAAGACTGGGCATTTTTTATTGTCTTTAAGCAGACAAAACTTCTTCATGTCAAGATCCTAGTCTTTTCTTCTCTACAGCAAACACAAGTCTGTTCATGGAGACTTGGGCTCAACAGACAATTTGAAGAGAACAAACAAGAATTTTCAGGATGTTGTTGCTACGTTCGTGTAGTTTTAGAAAGCATGACAATATCAAGTAATCCAAAGTATTCTGAGTATTGGTATTGGTTCTGTAATCTGAAGGGGAATACATTTTAAAAGTAACCGTCCCAACACTGTGGATAGAGGAAAGAGTTGATTGGTTTAGAGGAAGTGTTAGCAGGCTGTGATTGGCTGAGTGTGCGTTCACATGTGTCCTGTTTTGGGGCCAGTTAAGTCTTGATGTGGACTGGGTTTGGTCCTGTTCTAGTCCTTGTTTAGTCCAGATCTTGTCCAAATTCAGGTAAGGTAGAAAACTCCGTCTTCCTGGTTGAGCTGATCTGATGTTTTCTTTCCCCACACAGGAGCCTTCTCGGGGGTCTCAAACATCTTCAGTTTCTGGGGGGAGAGCCGAGGTGGGGGTCAGTACCAGGAGGTCCCCAGCTGTAGTCTGGCCTCTCCGCCCCCTCTCCACACCCCCGTGCACAGCCTGAGCAGACAGCAGAGGAGCCAGCTCGACGCACGGCTAGACCTGCTCCAGAAGCAACTCAACAGGTACGACCACCGGAACGTCACATCGGCCTAAAACAGACAGCATGTGTGTCTAGGGACGAATGTTTAGCAGTGATGACTAGAGCTGGGTATCATTAAGAAGTTGCCGATGATGATACATACCTTGATACATAGCCCATGACATGATACATATCTCGATTCAGTGCGCTTTCAATTCGATACATTTCAAAATGATAAAAAATAAAGTCTAAATCAATGCTGTGATACTAAAAGTCTTTATTAAACCACTTCTTGTCCAGAATTCATATGAAACACAAACATTTTAATCATCAAAACAGTGAAAATGTCAAATGTGTCACATAAACGAGTTTCGTTCCTCTAAACCAGACATGTCAAACTCAGGCTTGGGGGCCAAATTTGGCCCGTGACATAATTATATTTGGCCCACGAGATCATATCAAATCTGTATTAGAGCTGCCCGCCGGCTACAGATAAACTATAAAGACATTATTTATTTAAAATGTTGTTTTTATTTTATATGATGCTTGTTCTGGATTCAATGTTTAAGCAAAACTATTATTACACATTTATTTTAATAAGAAAAGGTTTAACATTACAGATGAAAGAAGAGTAAACACGCATATGTTGTTGAAAATTTTCAGTAAATATTTAGTTTGGCTCACGACTTAGTCCCAGTTTTAAATTTTGGCCTCTGTGAATTTGAGTTTGACACTGCTGCACTAAACAAACAACAAAACTGTAGCTGTAACAAAATAACTGAGTAAAATAGAGAAAAAAAATACTCTTGGTGATATATCGATACAGCAGCCCCGTTAAACATACTGTATCTATCATTATGGAGACAAGCAGGTAATCCCAAAAGGCTAAATTCCAAATCTGATCTGTGGAGGTTACCAATAAACACCTGTAATTTAATACCATTCTGTGAACAATTTTAAAGTACATCTCCATGGGTGGCTGACCCTACACAAGAAAAATGACATTGTGAGTCTTTACTCTTCCTTCACCTATGTTTCTCAAACTGTGGTGCATGTACACTGACTCCATCTGGTGGTTCTTATCTAGTAATGTTTAAGTCCTACACAAAAGCATTAAGAGTTTTAGCTTAGGGTTTACTTTAGTTTAGTTCATTTCAGTTCTGCTTTCATTCTGGTGGCAATTTTTTAAATTTATGTTGTAAATAGTTTGAAAATCACTGGCCTATACATCTGCAGCCGGAGCCTATTAGCCACAGTCAGGGTTCTAAACTGCCTTTAACTGAAACACACATGCACACACAAACTCATTTAGCCCTACGCTGTCTGACAGAAACCCGGCTATTAATAAGAATCATAAGGCACGGCGGACTCCTGGGAGAAAGTAATTGTTAAAGGAGAAATGCAATGGAAGCAAAACCAAGAGAGAACTTCTGAAATGTCTAGACTAAAGTGTCTGGTGTACTCAGAGACTGTGTATAGAACTGGACTAATGGTGTGTGAGATCACGCTTTGTGTTCAGCTCCAGCCACTTGTATGAATTTAGGGCCGAGTTGAAATAATTGGAATTCTGAGTGCTAACGAGCCAATCAGAAGTGTGAATGTACGCACTTTAACACTAACTTCGCTGGTTTGGCAGGGAACTGGAGCTCAGTAAAGCACAATAGTTGTGAAAAAAACCTGTTGCTCTAGGCTCTATTCATGGTCACAAACCAGAAAGACATTTGGAAACATGCAATGACAACTTCTGGCGGAATCTATTCATGGTAGTAAGTCTGACAAAATCTAGGAAAAATGAGAAAATGTTCCAGTTTTCTTCATCTCCGTGTCATTGTAGTGTTCTGTTATGTTTGGCTCATCAACAATTCCAACCACACCTCAGTTTTCATCATTTCCCCACTGACACACAACTCTGAGTGCACTGGGTACATGTGATTAGAAGAGATGAGGGACAAATTCCAGATGATTCTAAACAGCACAGGACTTACTTCAGTGGGTTTTATTACAGTCGGTCGAGTCGTGTCGGGAACTACACCAGAAGTTGTCATCATATGTTTCCAAACATCTTTGTGATGTAAGCGTGAATAGAGCCTATTGCTAAGAGGAGCAACCTCAGGGAAAGAAGGCACCTGATAGGTTTGTTATTAATGTCCATATCTTGACTTATGAACAAAATAGTAAAATAAAAATGTAATCCCCTACAGATTACAGATTACATACCTCAAAATGTAGTTTGTAACAGAATCCATTAAATGAGTTAAAGTGAGGAACGTAATCTGAATACTTTGGATTACTTAATTTGCTGTAGAGAAGCAAAGACTAGGCTATTGTAACATAAGATGTTTTGTCTGCGTAAAGAAAATAAAAAGACCAGACTTTACTTCACCGTATTAAAAATATTATTGATAGAAGAGAAGGAGAGACTGTTTTAGTCCTGTTTTAGTCCTGGTTTAGTCCTGGTTTAGTCCTGTTAAATCCTGGTTCAGTCCTGTTTTAGTCCTGGTTCTTTCCTGGTTTAGTCCTGGTTTAGTCCTGTTTTAGTCCTGTTTTAGTCCTGGTTTAGTCCTGGTTTAGTCCTGTTTTAGTTCTGTTTTAGTCCTGTTTAGTCCTGTTTTAGTCCTGTTTTAGTCCTGGTTTAGTCCTGTTTTAATCCTGATTTAGTCCTGTTTTAGTCCTGGTTTAGTCCTGTTTTAGTCCTGTTTTAGTCCTGGTTTAGTCCTGGTTTAGTCCTGTTTAGTCCTGGTTTAGTCCTGTTTTAGTCCTAGTCCTGTTTAGTCCTGTTTTAGTCCTGTTTTAGTCCTGGTTTAGTCCTGTTTAGTCCTGGTTTAGTCCTGTTTTAGTCCTGGTTTAGTCCTGTTTTAGTTCTGTTTTAGTTCTGGTTTAGTCCTGTTTTAGTTCTGGTTTAGTCCTGTTTTAGTTCTGGTTTAGACCTGGTTTAGATCTAGTTTAGACCTGGGGCTATAGCCCAAAATGTGAAAACAGAAAAATACCTCTGTGTAATTTATTTATTTCAACAAAGTAACTGTAATCCAATTACCACTCACTGAAACAGTAACTGTAACTGAATACAGTTACTCATAATTTGTACTCTGATTACGTAACTCTGGTACATGTAATCTGTTACTCCCAACACTGGAGAGGGGTGATGATTTTTCAAATTAAAGTGAATTGGAGCCAGAGTTAAACCATGTACTGCTCACTTCCTATTTAGCTCTCTGCAACTAGTGGACGAGCTATGTCCATTCACATATTCAGTGTGTATGGGTGCACCCTTATGTCTATTCACATATTCAGTGTGTATGGGTGCACCCTTATGTCTATTCACATATTCAGTGTGTATGGGTGCACCCTTATGTCTATTCACATATTCAGTGTGTATGGGTGCACCCTTATGTCTATTCACATATTCAGTGTGTATGGGTGCACCCTTATGAAGTGTCTCTGTGTTGTTGCATCAGGTTGGAGAGCCGCATGTCTGCAGACATCGGGGCCATCATGCAGCTGCTGCAGAGACAGATGGCCCTGGTGCCCCCGGCCTACAGCGCAGTGTCCTCCCCTCCTCAGGTACCACCACACACCCCACCCCCCACGACCTGCTCACACACTTTACTGTTTACTGCACTATGACTCAGCAAGTGTGCTACACCTGGGCTCGGATTTAAAACACCATTTCTATGACGGTGTTGAACTGTACAAAATGACCACAACGTGTTTCCAGCTACGACAAACCTCTGCACATCCTGATTCTTCATGTGCATGAGTTTGTTTGTCTCTCGTCTCCACTCAGTCAGACGTGGAGCAAAAGCAAAGGAACAGCCAACACTCCAGGGCTCATAGAAAATGACTCACAATCATTAAATACAAATTTATGAATAAGTCATTAAACTCTGGAATAAATGTAAGTCCATCAGCTTGGGTACAATGTCTAAAAGGACACCTGGACATCAGATGCTCTTCAAGGAACTATTGGAATTCTTCAGTGTGCAAGGATTTTTATATGTCATGGTTACAAACACACATGTGCATAATTGTTGTAAATACTAAAGTTTGTACTTCTGAGTGTTTCTGTGTGTGGTCCACAGGTGTCTCCATACCCAGGCTCAGGGGACAGAACAGCGCCCCTTCTGGAGACAGATGCTCTGTCCTCACTGTCACAGGCAAGACACACAGCACACACCAGTGTTCTTCCTCCACAGGGTTAGAAGGATCAGTGATAAATGATAAGATCACAGCAGTGGTAGGTTCATTCACAAACATGGAATATGTATTGTCACAGTCAGAGGCCCATCACAGACACATCAGACCACACAGTGCAGGTATTATATTGTGAAAGTGTTTTTCTTTATGTGTGTAGATTCTGGAAACACAGGACTTTGAGGAGTTCCCGTCCAGGCCACATGAGGGCGCTGTGATGAGCAGTCACCCCTCAGGACTGGGTGCTCTGGAGCTGCAGTTGGGACGGGGCCCTGGAACGGGGCTGGTGCCGGGTCCGGAGCAGAGCGGCGGGGGTGTGGAGCTCACTCCAGGGGCCTGTGTCTCCATGGACCCAGAGAGCCAACGCAGGTTGTCCCTTCAGGAGCCACAGACCCCTCTGGACTCACGGACACCTCAGAGACACCGCTCTGACCCGGGGGGCAGCTAAGGCTCCTGAGGCGCTCAGGCTCCAGGGCAGGGCCATGCCCAGGGCCATGCCCAGCGCCATGCCCAGCGCTGACCCGGACACGGGGGGCACACTCCCTTTAGGGCACACTTCAGACTCACCTTACCACTACAGGAGAAGCCACTAGAACAGCTGCCTCTGCTCCCATCAGAGGAGCTCCACATGGTACAAGTTACTTTAAACCAAATCCTCTCAGCAGGGGGCGCTGTCCTCTAACTGTACAGACCTGCTCACAGAGTGTGTGCTCCAACAATCCCTTTACTGCTGTATCTACAGCTGGAAGACACAAGCATCAGACTATGAAGCTCTCAACAAGTAGCCATGTTTCACCTTGCACTGAATCCTATGATATTATTCTAGATTGTCTATGTCCGCGGCGCTTCCCAAGAACTCACTAACTGGTGGTTGGAGATGTGTTAGCTGGCCTAACAGGAGATCTGCTGTCCTCTTCACTCATTGGATCCTTCCTTCTGAAGTCCTGCCCCTAAGGGGTGGAGCTAATGATAAGCCCGCCCCTTCCCCAAGAGCACACACTGGATTGGCTGCTTTGCACCTCAGGGGTGGGAACTGGAGAGGTAAAAGCCATGAATTTTCTCAATGAACATATCAATGACCCTGTCATGAACATTGTACAGTTTTGCAGGTGACTGAAGAACACATGGCATGCTTAGGCAGGGTCACGGGCAGTAAACTGGCAAACTTACAACTAAAGAAAATCAATTCAAGTGAAGGAAATATGGTAAAGTTCTGTGTGGAACATGTTTGTAGAATCTCTGGGTCATAGAAGGTACAGCTGGACTTATTTATATTAGTAACAACCTGTGTAAAATGTTCCACACAGTGACTTTATACTTTTCAATGAAGTCACATATTTGAGAAAACCTGAAGTCAGTTTTTTGTGAACGAGGCCTGCTCCACTTTTCCAAAGCACATGTCTATTTGAAGAAGCGTCTCTATGTTCTAATGCTACCTCAGACTGCATCTGTCCATCTGCTCAGCAGACAAACTCCTCACAGTCCTTGTATATTGTATACTCACTGTTCCTGTCCCTGATGTGAAACCATGTACGACACAAGTTTGCCAGTTTACGCAGACCAGCTGAACGCTCCGTTATTCATGTACAGTCTAATATGCAAACAGTGACTGTGCTGCGCTGTGCTGTCATCTGTGTGTGAGTGTGCACAGCTCCCTCTCCGCACTGAAGGCCCTGGATCACCAAGACTAATCTATCACCTTTAGAGAATATTCCCTTTAAAATGTAGGACTAAAGGAACAGGAACACCCTGACCCAAACTATATAGGCCTTTACCATTTTTCTAAGCTAAACTGTTATTCCAAGTACAAAATTACTGTCAGTGGTGGGTTGGAAGGATTTCTGATAGATTAGAATTTATTCCATGTGTTTTTTTCCAACTAATCTGATTTTGAGTGAGTTTTTGTTTGTTTTATGAAATAATTATTGAATTATTTAAAAAGTCTGTCTTTCTAAGAAGGGGATTCTAAACTTCGGCGTAGCTGTTGTGATATCTGTTTTTGATCTATGAAATTTTTTGCATCCACAGTAAAGTGGCCATTTCCACATCACATTTGCTACCAATCTGGCAAAGCTTCTTTAAATTTGTTTCTTTAAAATAAGACAGATTTTTTCTTATCCATAAGTTTAGGATCTCCTCCTTATGAAGAATTTCCTACAAGTGGAAGGGCCACAATATTTAATTACTTACAGTTGCAATGTAAAGTAAACTGTTTTTCCCTGAGTTTGGACTGAAAGTGCAGTGTTTTCTGGCACTAGAAGAATATAGTACTGTAACACTTAGCTGAACGAGAGCGTAGAACCTATGACATCTTTGAAACTAGTCTTCCCGATGCGTCCGTCAGAGTAGACCCTTTCAGAGTGCAATAGTCCTTTACTATGACGTTGTAGCAGCTTTGTTTCATCCGCACTTTATTCGTCTGACAGTGCACATGTTTTAGAAGACTCAGGAATGTGTCGCAAATGTCATAGACTTCATTCGAAAATATCGTCTAAAATACATCCAGTTATTTATATTTCTGTCAAAGAACTTTTCATGTCCATGGAAGTCCCCTTTAATGCAGACTGGTGACGATTGTACTTGTGTTGCTTGCTGGTCGAAGCTGATTGATTTATTTATTTGGTTGTAGAGATATCATATTTTGACTTGTACGTTTTGTGATTTTGTCTGTATTTTTATTTATGAAGGTTTATTTCGCAGAGATCACTTCGAGCCCACACGAGCACGTCAACAGTCTGTTACGTTGTCTGTACCAGGTTAGGAATAGGGCAGCGTTGTTGTTGCCATCGCGCACTTTATGGAACCAAAGCAAGAGAACTCCCAACGCAACCCTGTGTACTCTGACGTGAATGTGAAAAATATGAACCGTACAATGGGGATGTTGTGGCTAAAAAAAGAACTAGTGGAATGATAGAAACAAAATTGAGAAGTTGATACAGTGAAAAAGGGATTTCAAGCACTGTTCTAAACTCAAATTATACAGACACTGCTAACGAATGCTATCCTAAACTTCATCTAGGTGTTAGTATCGGCCGTCAAATCTTGCAAATGAAAATGGAACTGAAAATCTGTTGCAAACTCGCTAAGAACATGGCAATGGGATTCGCCACCTATTCCGACATCCCTTCATTGCTACAAGTCTCTAGATGTTTTCCGACACTTTTTAGTATCACTTTTTAGTATCGAGTTGCGATAGTCCACCCAGGTGTGTCTCTCGCTGCATCTATTCATGTCAGAAAAGTGGAATGTTTGAAAAATAGTAAAGTGCTGTTGCTCCGACAATGAAAAAAAAAAAAAGAAATGTCGTGGGACGCCGCTACTCCGACAATCAGTGTCTAAATAATCGGCATGTCAGAATAGCAACATGTAAGCCATGGTAATAGGTCACTAGATTATTGCTCACCTGACTAGGGTTGCCATGTTTTTAAACCAAAATCTACCCCAAAAAATCTTTAAAATCTGTCCAGAACAGTAACTCTTGTACCAGAACTTCATTTACTAAACCACGGGTCTCCACCTCCCTTCAAGTAGCTCGTCAAGAGATTTCTGAATTACCGTATTTTCTGGGTTATTAGACGCGTTCTTAAGCCTCTAACCGCATCAAAAAACGACTGCGCGCCACAATCCAGAGCGCCCTATACACAAATCCACTCAGGTGTCCCAGCACGACTTCAGTAAACTACAAAGCCGCACCACCCGCAGAACACACAAACACACACGGAGCAGACAGCGACCACACAGAGAAACACACCCACAGACACACTCATCACTCCACGCCGACGAGGAACGGAACGGAGGAACGAACCGAAAAAGCAAGTGCAATGTGCCACTTCTAGACACAACTGAACAACTGAGTCACTGCGAACACGCCGACAATCCAGCAGTCCCAGACACCGTGAACGCACCAAACAAACAAAACCACTCACCCATCACACTGTTGTGTTTCCTTTAAAGTCCGGTGCAGTTTATTTGTGAAAAAAGTTCCAAAATAGACCATTTAATGACAGTGCACCTTATAATCCAGAGCAACTAATAGCCCGGAAAAGACGGTATACATATTGTGCTGAATAACTCCAATTTGATTGATTAAATGCCTATTTCCATTGTAAATGTTTCATTTTGATGCCTAATTGTGTGCACAGATTACTGCATAATGGTTTATTTTTTTATAGACATCATTTTTATAGAGTACCCCATCTTTATATCTTTATATTTACTCCATTTCTGGCAACCCCTAAAATGAGTAGCTCTCTGGCATTTTCGTTTTACAAAAAGTAGCTCACTGGAAGAAAAAGGTTGGAGACCCCTGGACTAAACTCTTCCTAGTTGTGGTAACTGACCAACAGAACCATTACTATCGGTGTAATGAATGATTCGGTCAGAGGCTGCCTTCACACTTAGTCCTAGTTCATGTCCTAGTTTAGTGCTTGTGAAGACCTGGTTTAGTCCAGGTTTTAGATCTGGGTTTAGTCACAGTTTCACGGTGGTGTGTGTTTGCGAGTGAACACAGCCTAAGAAGTTATGGCAAGTTAATAACGTCAAGTTTCTGGAATCCCTTTTTCATTGTCCACATTCAGCACAATTATAAAATGTATTTTCAAGTTGACCCCGAATTTTTTGAACATGACATCATCATATAGAAATCTGTCATTGGCCCTTTTGTACCGGACGCTCACTTCACACCATTAACTAAACTGAGCATGCGCCGACAGAAAGTAAAGCAGAGTTTTTAATCGCCATTTTAAGCTAACAGTCAGCAGCAGATAGCATCCATGCTAACAAAAAGGTTTGTTTTTGTTACGTTAAATACAAACATCCAACATTAATAAAACAGCTGTGTATCAGAGTAGAATGACCAGATGTCCCTATTTTGCCGAGACAGTCCCAGTTTTGAGCTCTGTGTCCCTGTCCCAGCAGATTTATACAAAACCATTGATTTGTCCCAGTTTTATACAAGAAAATACCCAGGTGTTTGTATTTTTGACCAATTTGTTACCTTCCAACAGTAAAGAGAGGCATAAATTGTAATTTGTTTAGGTAAAATACAGAAAAGCTGCTTAAAAACAACCAAAACACAAAGAAAATGTGACTATACAGACTCGCATGTTAGTCACGAATGGTTTCATGCATAACAGTTTTCCCTAATAGACGCATCAAGTATCTTGGATTTCCAGTCACTGCGCAGTGCATACTGGGAAGGATTTTCCATAAAAGTGAGCATCAAACCATCATGTTTGTTTTCCCAGTGGGATGCGTCTATTGACAAAGTCAATCTTTTCAAGTCAGTTGAACCATATCACTTTTGTTTCTGGTTCTGATATTGTCATATTTTAGTTTTGGGATTCGGACATCGTAATTGTGTGGTTGTTGGATCCTAACAGCGGAAAACTGCTCGAGAAATTTGTTTGCGAACTTCATAAATGCAAAAGGGAATCAGATGTGTGTGAC